TTACTGTCACTGTATTACTGTCACTGTACTGTTACTGTCACTATATTGTATTGTTACTGCCACTATCATTGTAGCTGTCACTATATCGTTACTGTTACTATCTTGTCACTGTCCAAGTTTCTTTACGCCATTTGCCTCTGTCTACCCAGCAGTAATTGGGCACCTGGATGTTAATCGATTTGTTGATCGTGTTCCGGGGTAATGGTTAGCCAGTGCAGTTGGCGAGTTGTCCGGTCTTCTCGGAATATTCCTTGACACTGGTTCATGCAGCTCGTTAACTCAGGGTGTGGTTGTTGTGTTGACGACAGCTTCTACACCTTAAACACTGGGTCATGCAGCTCGTTAACTCAGGGTGTGGTTGTTGTGTTGACGACAGCTTCTACACCTTAAACACAGGGTCATGCAGCTCGTTAACTCAGGGTGTGGTTGTTGTGTTGACGACAGCTTCTACACCTTAAACACTGGGTCATGCAGCTCGTTAACTTAGGGTGTAGTTATTGTGTTGGCGACAGCTTCTACACCTTAAACACTGGGTCATGCAGCTCGTTAACTTAGGGTGTAGTTATTGTGTTGGCGACAGCTTCTACACCTTAAACACTGGGTCATAAGAACACAAGAAAATAAGGAGTCTGCAATTGGCCGGTTGGCCTGTGCATGGCAGCTCCTGTCGGGAATTACTACCACTCTCTATCGTCCATGAATCTATCTAGCCTCCTTTTAAATCTTTCCAGCGTCCCAGCACTTACTACAAAGTTGCTAAGCTTGTTCCACTCATCCACCACCCTATTTGTGAACCAGTTTCCTTTTATCTCCTTTCCTATTTCCCTGCTCCGAGTCCTATCCTGCTCGGATATTATAAGAACTTTATCTATATCCCCTTTATTGATTCCTTTCACCCACTTAAATACTTCTATCATATCTCCCCGCACTCTTCGTCTTTCTAGGGAATGCAAGTTTAGTTTCTATAATCTATCTTGATATGGAAGGTTTCTAAGTCCCGGAATCATTTTCGTCATTCTTCGCTGCACCGACTCTAGTGAATTGATGTCCATTCTATAATAAGGGCACCAGAACTGAACAGCATAATCGAGGTGCGGCCTGACTAGCGCAAGATATAATTGCAATATGACCTCCGCACTCTTATTATTTACACTTCTAGATATAAAACCTAATATTCTGTTTGCTTTATTTCGAACATTAACGCACTGTTTTCTAGGCCGTAGGCTTACAAGTACCCCTAAGTCTCTTTCACAAGTCGACTTCTTTAGGTTGATGTTGTTATGGCTGTATAAATTGACAATATTTGTTCTTCCAATATTAAGTACGTTGCACTTGCTGGTGTTGAATATTATTTGCCATTTTTCTGACCACTCCTGCAGTTCATTTGAATCCTCTTATAGTGCATTTGCATCCTGCCCTGAATTAATCTGCCGCCCTGTTTTGGTGTTATCCGCAAACTTGCTTATGCCACTGCTGATCCCAGTATCAAAATCGTTTATATAGATTATGATCAAGAGTGGGCCCAGTACTGACCCCTGGGGAACCCCACTGGTTACACAGCCCCACTCAGATTTAACACCATCTATGCTGACCCTCTGTGTTCTATCGGTGAGCCATGATTTTATCCAATTTAAAACTTTCCCCTCGATACCATGAGCCTTAACTTTTCTCAGAAGCCTCTGATACGGTACTCTGTCAAATGCTTTGCTAAAGTCTAAGTAAATAACATCGTAATTTTCGTCATTATCTACTACCTCGAAGACTTTCCTAAAGAAAAACGTCAGAAGATTTGTTTGACAAGATTTTCCCTTTGTAAACCCATGTTGAGAGTCGTAGATTAATTTGTTTTTCTCTAAATGCGATCGGATGCTATTTGCTATAATTGATTCAAGAAATTTCCCCACTACTGACGTCAAACTAATCGGCCGATAATTTGACGCTGATGCTCTGTCTCCTTTTTTTTAATATGGGTACTACATTTGCCTGTTTCCACAAGTCTGGTACAACTCCCGTGTCTAATGATTTTGTAAATAAATTAACGAGGGGTCCGCTAATCTATTCCTTAAACTCTTTCAAAACTCGAGGGAAAATTTCACCCGGCCCTGGGGATTTTGTCTTCTTTAGTTTATTTATCTACTTAAGAACATCCTCGTTTCTGATAGTAATATTCTTTACTATCTCTTCTATGTTCCCCTAAATATCAGTTCCACCTCTGGCATTTCCTCGTGAATTTTTTCTGTTAAAACTGATAAGAAGTAACTGTTTAATGATTTGGTTATGTCTCACTATTATTGATCACTTCCCCTCTCTCTGACTTATCCCCCCCTCCCCCTCTCCCCTACCCTCCGCCTCTCCCCTACCCTCCTCCTCCTCTCCCCTACCCTACCACCCCCGTTCCCTCCTGAAACCGGTCTACTACAGGGAGGAAGGAGGGGTGGGGAGGGGAAGTGACCTCCACCCCCCTTCCCTCATTCACAACTGGAGGGGGGGGGGCGGAGGGGGAATTAGCAGGTGTGGGGTGGTTAGCAGATCCTCTCCCTCTCTTCCGGCTTCCTTCTCCTTTTCTCCCTCTTTTCTCTCCCTCCCCTCCCTCCTCTTCCTTACCTCCCCCGCCCTTACAGGAAGTTGACATAAGCACTTTACGAAATAAACAATAGTGACGTCACCTTGGGTTTCCTGACGTCACATCCGGCCTTTAAATAACACGGCAGAGAAGGTCACTTTCATCACTTACGACGACAAATAACATCTTAAATAAACAAACAAAAACAAACAAGCAAGACAAATAAACAAACAACAGAAACAAATAATAAACTCACTGATAGACGTATAATAATAATAATAATAATAATAATAATAATAATAATAATAATAATAATAATAATAATAATAATAATAATGGTTGCCCCTCCCTAAGTTAACGAGCTGCATGACCCAGTGTTTAAGGTGTAGAAGCTGTCACCAACACAACAACCACACCCTGAGTTAACGAGCTGCATGACCCAGTGTTTAAGGTGTAGAAGCTGTCACCAACACAACAACCACACCCTAAGTTAACGAGCTGCATGACCCAGTGTTTAAGGTGTAGAAGCTGTCACCAACACAACAACCACACCCTGAGTTAACGAGCTGCATGACCCAGTGTTTAAGGTGTAGAAGCTGTCACCAACACAACAACCACACCCTGAGTTAACGAGCTGCATGACCCTGCATGACCCAGTGTTTAAGGTGTAGAAGCTGTCACCAACACAACAACCACACCCTGAGTTAACGAGCTGCATGACCCAGTGTTTAAGGTGTAGAAGCTGTCGTCAACACAACAACCACACCCTGAGTTAACGAGCTGCATGACCCAGTGTTTAAGGTGTAGAAGCTGTCGTCAACACAACAACAACACACCCTGAGTTAACGAGCTGCATGACCCAGTGTTTAAGGTGTAGAAGCTGTCGCCAACACAACAACCACACCCTGAGTTAACGAGCTGCATGAACAGACAGATATATAAAAATATATCTGTCTGTCTGTCAGTCTGTCTCTGTGGTGTCAAGTCAAAGCGGTAGATAACAGTTATCGGTAAATAACAGTCAATAGTAAATAACAGTCAAGAGTCAATGGTAAATAACAGTCAACAGTCATCAACAGCAACAGTCAACGGTAAATAAAATGTTTAAACAACATTACAAGAACAATACAGCACATCTATAATACAGTCCTTGACCTGTATTGCTCTCACAGGATATTACAGAACTGTTAGGTGACGTTACAGAACTGTTAGGTGACGTTACAGAACTGTTAGGTGACGTTACAGAACTGTTAGGTGACGTTACAGAACTGTTAGGTGACAGTTACAGAACTGTTAGGTGACGTTACAGAACTGTTAGGTGACGGTTACAGAACTGTTAGGTGACGTTACAACACTGCTAGGTGACGTTACAGCACTGTTATATGGTGTTACAACACTGTTACATGGTGTTACAGCACTGTTACATGGTGTTAGAGTGTTACAGTTTCCGATTTTCAAGAAGGGAGACAGATCACTATCCTCTAACTACCGTCCAATCAGTTTAACATCAATTGTAGGCAAATTGCTGGAAGCATTAATTTCAAACTCTATTCTAAGTCTCCTGGAGAAGCACAAGTTGATCAATGATTCCAAGGCGGGCGTTCATGTCTGACTAATCTATTAACATTCTTTCCAGCTGTTTTCGAATCAGTGGACAATGGGCACGATTACGATGTAGCATATCTCGATTTAAGCAAAGCCTTCGATAGAGTTCCTCACTAAAGACTAATACGAAAAAGTGGAGGCTTATGGCATTGGAGGAGAATTCTAAAATGGAATAGGGCGTGGTTACAGGACAGGAAACAGCGAGTGAGCATTAACAGCACTACATCCGATTGGAGTAACGTCACTAGTAGAGTGCCCCAAGGCTCAGTACTTGGACCATTATTATTTATTTTGTACATAAACGACACAGATATAACAGTACACAGCAACATAAGTAAATTTGCTGATGACACTAAAATATGGCGTGTAATTAAATCTGACGTGGATTCCGCAAAGCTACAGGAAGATCCAAATAACTTTTTCGAGTGATCTGAAATAAAGAAGAAACTTTATGTGGACAAATGAAAAGTACTTAGTCTAGGAGATGTAAACAAAGGAACCAGACACCAGATGAAGAAAGTTGTTAAAAGAGAAATCCTACTGTGAGAAAGATTTAGGAGTAATGATAAGTAGGTTAGGTTAGGTTAGGTGAGTGTAGGTTAAGTTAGGTTAGGTTAGGTTTGGTACCCATTTACAGCTGAATGAACTGGTCAGATTAGTTTGGTTAAAACATATTTTTTGTCATTTCCGGAGCAGTTAACTAACCCCCACTAAACTTTTCTCTCACAGGTTGCTGGCGGTGGTGGCGGGCGTGGCGGTAACATGGTTCTCGTGGGCGGGGGTGGCAGCAGGCGGGGTTGAACGGGTGCTTGACGTACACCTCACCCCTCATGAAGTACAGGCTGCGGTGCGTGAGGCGGTGCTTGTGGTCAGAGAGCAGATAGAAGTGATAGAACCTCATGTCTTCCAGAGTGGTGAGTTGTCTCTCAGTTATTATTATTATTAAGATTATTTTATTTATTATTATTATTATTAAGATTTAGGAGTAATGATAATTAGGAATCTTAAGCCAAGTAAACAATGTGTATTTGCTCGAAACAAGGCTAATAAAGTACTTGGGTTGATACAAAGGAGTGTTACAAGACTAGCGAGGTCATCCTAAAACTATATCTTGCGCTTGTGAGACCTCACCTGGATTATGTGGTTCAGTTCTGGTCACCGTACTACAGAATGGATATAGAATCCCCTATAGAAAGAATTCAGAAGAGAATGACAAGACTAATCCCGGGCATTAGGAACCTTGAGTATAGAGACAGGTTAATGCATCTTAATATGCACTCCCTCGAGAGACGTAGAGCGAGGGGCGATATGATAGAGGTGTATAAATGGAAGTCGGGGCTAAACAAAGGTGATATAACAAAGGTACTTAACCTATCCAACCAGGAGCAAACTCGTAACAATGGTTTTAAATTAGACACATTTAGATTTAGGCGCGAAATAGGTAAACACTGGTTTGGAAATAGAGTAGTGGACAAGTGGAACAAGTTACCAAACATCATCATTAACTCGAATACGCTGGATAGCTTCAAACATAGGTTGGATGGGTATATGAGCGATAGGGGTTGGGTGTAAATGGGATTGCCCAGTATGGGCCAATAGGCCCGCTGCAGTTTCCTCCATTCTTATGTTCTTATGTAATCACCCCACACCTACTTATCACCCCACCCTTGCTAACCACCCCACACCTGCTAATCACCCCACCTCTGCTAATCACCTCACACCTGCTAATCACCCCACACCCACTAATCACCCCACACCCGCTAATCACCCCACACCCGCTAATCACCCCACACCCACTAATCACCCCATACCCGCTAATCACTCCACACCTGCTAATCACCCACACCCGTTAATCACCCCACACCAACTAACCACCCCACACCAACTAACCACCCCACACCAACTAACCACCCCACACCCACGCTAACCACCCCACACCAACTAACCACCCCACACCAACTAACCACCCCACACCAACTAACCACCCCACACCCTCTAATCACCCCACACCCTCTAATCACCCCACATCTTCACCCAACAGGAGGGAAGCTGGGCCCTGATTCACCCGCCTACCACTACTATACTCTAATGGCCGGGACGGAGCGGACAAGAACTATCGCCGCTGTGGCTCTTATCTCTCAGACGGCCACCCACATCCTCGCTGTCAGGTGCGTGGCTCTGTTGGACACGGTTAAGATGTGGGAAATAGGTGGGCAGGAAGTAGGGATGACACGGGCAGGGTTGGCTATTGGTCCGGTACTGTTTGGGTATTGGTCGGGTACTTTTTGGGTATCGGTCGGGTTCTGTTTGGGTATTGGTCGGGTACTTTTTGGGTATTGGTCGGGTACTTTTTGGGTATTGGTCGGTTACTTTTTGGGTATTGGTCGGGTATTTTTTGGGTATTGGTCGGGTACTTTTTGGGTATTGGTCGGGTATTGATTGAATTATAGTCGGGATGGGTACTGGTCCTGTCTCAGTCCACTAATTGTAATACTGGGTATATTTAGTCGGTTATTGATCGTCGAAGGTCGGGTCTTAGTAGGATCCTATCGAGACAAGTCGGGTGAGAGAGAGAGAGAGAGATGATATTCACTTGTGTGGCCTAAATTTCAAGAGCATTACGTATACTCTCTCTCTCTCTCTCTCTCTCTCTCTCTCTCTCTCTCTCTCTCTCTCTCCTACCCCCTTAAGTAAAAGAACAATATTTTAACTTAACCTTCATCTAACCTAACCTAACTTAACCTAACTTAACGTAACCTAACCTAACCTAACTTAACCCAATATATACACAAAACTAAGACATCATTAAAAAACACAAAGTTAAAAGGAAGTTAAGTTAGGTTAAGTTAGGTTAGGTTAGGTTACGTTAAATTAGGTTAGGTTACGTTAAGTTAGGTTAAGTTAGGTTAGGTTAAGTTAGGTTATTTACAGTAGTTTATTGTTAAATGGAGCTATCGGTCACCGCCCTTCAGTCACCTAGATGGGAATTCCAAACAACTTAACTACTGCTCGTGGGAAGGTTAGGCAAGGTTGGTCCCTGGTAGGTGGGGGGGCTAGTAGGGGAGGAGAGAGGGTAGGGAGGAGAGAGGGTAGGGAGGAGAGAGGGCAATAGCATGGGTGGGGAAGTAGAGGGAGGAGAGCTTACATCATAGGTAAGTGGGACCTTCGGGGAAAACCTGCCCCCTCTCGGTAGGCCTAGTGAGATGAGTGAGGGAAGAGGGGTCAGTTACCCTAAGGGGGGATGAGTAGGGAGGGGGGGGAGAGGGGGGGAGAGGGAAGGGGAGGGGGTGAGGGAGGAGAGGGGAGAGGGAGGGAGGGGAGGGGGAGGGAGGGGGGGGGAGGGAGGGGAGGGATGGGAGGAGGGTGGAGGAGGGGAGAGGGAGGGGAGAGGGAGGGAGGGACGGTGTGGAGGGAGGGGAGGGGAGGGGTGAGGGAGGGGGAGAGGGAGGGAAGGAGGGGGAGAGGGAGGGAGGGGAGGAGTGGGGGGAGAGGGAGGGGAGGGTGTAAGGCATACCTCCCTCTCCTCCCAAACAACACTCCACCCTCCTCAAAGACGAACTCTCCTCCCTCTCCCATCTCTCCCCACCACACCTCTTCTTCCTCCCTTCCTCCCTTTCTCTCCTCCTCTCATCTTCCTCTCTAACCCATCAATGGACAACTCAATCCTCCTCCCATCCTCCTCCATCCCTCCTTCTCATCCTCCTCCCAACCTCCTCCCAACCCCTCCTCCTCATCCCTCCTCCCCATCTCCTCCTCATCCTCCCCATCCCTCCTCATCCCCTCCTCCCCATCCCCTCCCCCATCCCCTCCTCCCCATCCCCATGAACCTGTCTGCTGTATAACTTTCACCCGCCTGCTGCTCAACTACACAGCTCCCTGTGTGTGTGTGTGTGTGTGTGTGTGTGTGTGTGTGTGTGTGTGTGTGTGTGTGTGTGTGTGTGTGTGTGTGTGTGTGTGTGTGTGTGTGTGTGTGTTGTTGTGTGATAACAATGAGAGAAACAGGAAATATCAAACAGAAGAATGAAAAAAAAAGAGAAAGCGAAGCAGAGAATGAGACAAGCCTGATGGGGAGATGACGAGAAGAAGAGAGAGGAGGAGAAAGGGAGGGAGGAGGAGAGAGGGAGGAGGAGGAGGGGAGAGGAGGAGGAGGAGGAGAGGAGGGAGGAGGAGGAAAGAGGAGGAGGAGAGAGGAGAAAGAGAGAGGAGAGGAGGAGGAGAGGAGTAGGGAGGAGGAGGAGGAGGAGGAAGAGGAGGAGGAAAGTGGAGGAGGAGGAGGAGGGAGGAAGGAGGAGGAGAGGAGAGGAGGAGGAGGAGGAGGAGGGAGCAGGAAGAGGAGGGAGGAGGAGGAGGAGGAGTAGGGAGGAGGAGGAGGAGGAGGGAAAGAGAAAGAGGAGAGGAGGAGGAGGAAAAGAGGAGGAGGAGGAGGAGGAGAGGAGGAGGAGAGGGAGGAGGAGAGGAGGAGGAGGAGAGAGGGAGGAGGGAAGAGGAGAAAGAGGAGGAGAGAGAGAAAGAGGAAGAGAGGGGAGGAGGAGGAGGAGGAGGAGGGAGGAGGAGGAGGAAGAGGAGGAGGAGAAGAAAGTGGAGGAGGGAGGAGGAAGAGAGGAGGAGGAGGAGGAGGAGAGGAGGAGGAGGAGGAGGAGGAGGAGGAGAAAGAGAGGAGGAGGAGAGGAGGAGGGGAGAGGAGCAGGAAGAGGAGAGGGAGAGGAGAGAAAGAGGAGGAGGGAGGAGGAGGAGAGGGAGGAGGAGGAGAGGAGGAGGAGGGGAGGAGAAAGAGGAGAGGAGAGAGAGAAAGAGGAGGAGGGAGGAGGAGGAGGAGGAGGAGGAGGAGAGGAGGAAGAGGGGAGGAGGAGGAAGAGGAGGGAGGAGAAGTGGAGGAGGAGGAGAGGAGGAGGAAGAGGAGGGGAGGAGGAGGAGGAGGAGAGGAGGAGAGGAGGAGGGAGGAGAAAGAGGAGTAGGAGGAGGAGGAGAGGAAGAGAGGAGGAGGAGGAGGAGGAGGAGGAGGAGGAGGAGGAGGAAGGGACAATAGTACATAGGTTTCTGTCTCAACTAACCCTGAGAAAGTGTGTGTGTGTGTGTGTGTGTGTGTACTGTTACTTCCACCTATGAACTGTCACACCTTAACTATCGATGCTGTCAGCCCAATACTAACTGTCACTAACTGTCTATAAATCCACCAGTTATTATTTAATCACATTCACTGTCATTCATTCCTCCCCAACACTTTCGACTGAGTGACTGGGTGTAATTCCAGTCTAAAAACACACACAGACAGTCACATTATCCAGTCACCGTTGGAATGTCTGTTAGGCTCTCACTCAAGGAGCCAGCTGTCAGTGAGGCAATATCTCACCAAACTTTCTGTAAGTTCACCACATCAGGCAACAGCTGTTATCTGGGAGTCTGGTCCTAATTCTTCTGTCTGTGGGATTATATATTGCTGTGTAATGTGTCACCACCATCATCATCAGTCATCAATCATCATCATCATCATCATCACCATCATCATCATCATCACCATCATCATCACCATCATCAACACCCACCACCACCATCATCATCATCATCACCACCACCATCATCACCATCATCATCACCATCATCACAATCAATAAGGAAGTCACAAAAACCAAAACTTTTCTCAACTAAAAACAAGAAAATTTACACAAACTGCCGAATCACCCTGTTGAATCGCTTACTGGTGGTTGTTAGTGAAAGGGGAGAAACTAGCTGCCTGCGGGCGTCAAATTGTGGTTAGGTAGCTGAGTGGTGGCTGGATAGTTAAGTGGTGATTGGATAGTTAAGGAGTAGTTATGGTAAGGTGGTGGTTGGATAGTTAAGTGGTGGTTGGGTAGTTAAGTGCTGGTTGGGTGGTAAATGGTGGTTGGGTAGCTCAGCAGTGGTTGGCGGGAAGGGGCAGTTGGCGGTTGGGTGGAGGTGGTGGTTGGGTAGTTAAGGAGTAGTTATGGTAGTTAAGTGGTGGTTGGGTAGTTAGTGTTGGTTGGAGAAGTGGTGGTTGGATAGTTAAGTGGTGGTTGGATAGTTAAGTGGTGGTTGGGTAGTTAAGTGGTGGTTGGATAGTTAAGTGGTGGTTGGGTGCCAGAAGTAGTTGTGGTAGTTAAGGGTGGTTGATAAAGTGGTGGTTGTGGTAGTTATGGTGGTTGGGTAGTTATGAGTAGTTGTGGTAGTTATGGTGGTTGGATCGTTAATGGTGGTTGTATGTTGATAGTTGTTGAAAGTTGTAATATTATGTATTTTTAACCTTTAGTTTGTGATGTATGTACAAGCACTAAGTACCCTCAAGGTCGACCTCCAAAACACATCAAGGTCGACCTCCAAAACACCTCACAGTAAACCTCCAGCACCTCAATGTAGACCTCCAAGATTATCTCAAAGTTGACCTCCAAAACACTCCAAGGTCGACCTCCATAACACCTCAAGGTCGACCTCCAAACACCTCACAGTAAACCTCCAAAACACCTCAATGTAGACCTCCAAGATTATCTCAAAGTTGACCTCCATAACACCTCAAGGTCGACCTCCATAACACCTCAAGGTCGATCTCCAAAATACACCACAGTAAACCTCCAAAACACCCCAGGTTGACCTCCAAGATTCTCTCAAGGTTGACCACTAAGAGTTCTCCAGGTCGACCTTCAAGATATCTTAAGGTTGTCCACAAAAACTGCTCAAGGTCGACCTCCAAACCTCAAGGTTGACCTCTAAACTAATCATTGACAAACACACAGACACAATCAAACAAACACAGACACATTCACCGACAAACAAACACACAGTCACACAGACACACACACACACACACAAAGACACACTGACGTACACACAGACACAGACACACACACACGCACACAAAGACACACTGATGTACACACAGACAGGCAGACATATGGTAAGAAACTGATAAAGGCAGCGACCACTTTCACCTCTCTCTGACTCCTTCCCTCCCTCCCTGTTTCCTTCTCTTCCTGTATGTCTGTGTCTCTCTCCCTGTCTGCTCCTGTGCGGAATAGGAGAGAGAGAGAGAGAGAGAGAGAGAGAGAGAGAGAGAGATTGCTTCTTATCTCTCTCTTCTTTACACATTGACTCACCATTCGTAAGAGTCGATGGTTCCACCCCGGGGCACTACCAGGTCCAGTACTGTGTCTGGCTCCTCACTTCTTTGTGTACTGTCCCTAGTGTATGGTCCTGGGTCAGTGTCACCACACACACACACACACACACACACACTGTACATACATACATACATACATACATACATACATTACGTACAACTTCCGCTATTGGATGTGTGTATAGTTGGTTACTGTGAGAAAGAGGAAGGGGAGGGATGTAAAGAGGGAGGGAAGAAATGAGGAAGGGAGGGATGTAAAGAGGGAGGGAAGAAATGAGGAAGGGAGGGATGTAAAGAGGGAGGGAAGAAAGGAGGGAGGGATTATGGCCCTTGTAGCCACTACAGACAATGCAGTCAGTCATGTTGGGTGTCAGAGACAGACACCTCCATGACCGTGACACTGTAGCCAACATGATTGTCAAGCACGCCCAAGAGGAGGATGTTCTGCTTTCAAGCAATACTCTAACAATGCTCACGCCACCACAATCTGCCCATCCCAGAACTGTTCAGGGCAACATCCTCATTCACTGTTCAAAATCCCACTAACAGGAGCCACCAACTCCCCTACTATTAGATACACTGATCAGCAGGGCCAAGAGCATCTGTTAACTGCATTGAGCAATCTAGAATCAACTGACCTAGACTCACAAACCCTGACTACAGCAATCTCAGAGGAGACAACGGTAGTCTCGGGTGTGGATACACAGGTACCCACATCAAAAAGCTGCTTTGCAACTTTCTTAACTGCAGAAATGCCAGATTGAGGGTGGGACAACACACAGGAAAGACCTTCCCACTCATGAGCGGAGTCCCTCAGGGCAGCGTCCTCTCTCCCACCCTATATATCATCTACACAAGTGACACCCCCCCTCCTACTAGAACAGGAAACGAAGATATTATGTATGCAGTTGACATCACTCAAATAACAACACATCGAGGAAAATCACGAGCGTTACAGGTCGACAATACTAGACGAGAAATAGAATGGGTAAATAATTACGAAAAATAATGGAAAATCCAAACCAGTCTCCCGAAATTCACAGTGACTCCCTTATGTAGAAAGAAAACCCATCCATTAGTAATCAAGAATGCCTGGATAGACTACAGAAGCAGAAGCATCCTCCTGGGCCTGAATATATCCACGACAGGTTACTCCCATCATGTCCACACCAGGAAGGAAAAGGCAAGAAGAGAGCTGAAAAAAACTGTACCACTTTAAAGCGCTTCCTGAGAAAATAAAACTCCGCCTGGTGACATCATTTATCACACCGATATTAACTTACCCAGCAGTACCTCTTCATACTATGAGCACCACTCAAATATTAAAATTACAGGTGGTCCAAAATGAAGCCCTGAGATTCGTCACAGGTGAAAGATACCCCTTCACCAGAACCACAGCCGAGATACATAGAGACCTGAGAATAAAACCCATCAACCAGCAGCTGCACACCCTGGCCAGCAGAGTCTGGCAAAAGATAGAACGATCAGAGCAAGAACTCCTTCAAAGACTCCCACCAGATAACGACAACAACCATACATGGCTCCCAAAAAGTTACCAAATCTTAAAAGGTCCATTACCACCCCCGATCTATAAGGCCAGGCAATAGACAACCTCCCTAGACCAACATCCGCCAGTAGGGTCGGCGGAATATGAAATAAGGCCCTTAAAACACCCATGGGTAGGATGTCTAGTGCCTGTACCGACAGACAATAACTAACCCATGACAGCCCGCCCTCTCTTACCTTCTCGTAAATTTCTTCAATTTCCGAACTATAACTTCCTCTACCCCTACTCTTCTTTCTCTACAAAAAATGGGAATGTAGGAAGGGGGGGGGGAGGAAGGGGGGGTGAGGGAAAAAGGAGGTAAATGTAGAAAGAGAGGTGGAGTGAAGGAGGGGGTAGAATGTGAAAAGGGGGGGAGGAAGGGAGGGGGAATGCAGGGAAAGGGAGTGAAGGAGGGGGGAATGTAGGGAAAGGGGAGGGGGGGAGGAAGGGAGGGGGGAATGTAGGAAGGGAAAAAAGATTTGGTAGATGAAAGAGAAATAGGTAACACGTGATAGGTAAGAATCAAAACAGTAAGTAAGAAGAAAAGGCACTTTGCTATCCTGAATAGGCTATGACAATAACCTCACCAAGTAGGTCTAAGACACTCCCCTACGCCCTAACCCATAGGTTCTATTAATTGAAACTCATGAACCTTTTGTAGTGCCAGTGTGAACCTTTTGTAGTATCAGTGTGAACCTTTTGTAGTATCAGTGTGAACCTTTTGTAGTACCAGTGTGAACCTTTTGTAGTATCAGTGTGAACCTTTTGTAGTGCCAGTGTGAACCTTTTGTAGTATCAGTGTGAACCTTTTGTAGTGCCAGTGTGAACCTTTTGTAGTATCAGTGTGAACCTTTTGTAGTATCAGTGTGAACCTTTTGTAGTACCAGTGTGAACCTTTTGTAGTATCAGTGTGAACCTTTTGTAGTGCCAGTGTGAACCTTTTGTAGTATCAGTGTGAACCTTTTGTAGTGCCAGTGTGAACCTTTTGTAGTATCAGTGTGAACGTTTGTCAGGTACAGTAAAACACACACACACACACACACACGTTGCTCCAGTAAGTCGGACTGTTCTTCATTACGTAACAACTTAAGGAATATTTTCATCGGAAAACACAAACCTAACCTAACCTACGCCACCCCCCTTCCCCGCGAAGTGTGGAGAAGTGTATATTGTTTGCTATCGTGTGTTTAGCAATATAATGCAGTAATAATAATAATAATAACCTAACCTAACCTCTCTCTCTCTGTCTGTGGCCTCAACAGACACAATCTCACAGTCGGGCAAGTGTCACTGGTCTTGCCCCAACACGACACCATGAAGACTGTACTGGCCGACTCTTGCCCTACCCCGTTACCACCGTCCTCCTGCCCGCCTTCACGCTACAGGACTATAGATGGCACGTGTAATAACCCCGACCAGCCAAGATGGGGCGCTGTCAACACTCCTTATTTAAGATTGCTTCCTGCCTGGTATGCTGACGGTAAGTGCTGTAGTTTTTATAAGTTGTTTTGTAATTGGTGTAATGTTTTATCTACTTAGAAAAGGTATCTACTCACAAAACGTATCTACTTATCTACTTAAACAGTATATTTACTTATTTATCTGCTTATAAATATCACATACACAACCAACTCGATCGTCACTTGTCTAATTCCATGATCGTCTTTTGTTTCCATGGTTACAAAATCCACACACCATTAAAGGCTTTTCTCGGTCTTATAATTTACGGCGGTGACGTAACAGCAGCGGTGATGACACATAAGGCAATTTTTCCAACCAATCATGACACTCTCTCACGTTTGGCGATGACGTCACCCTCGGTTAGCTCCGCCTATGTTTTCTTTCCGGAAGACTGTGATTGACGGATCTGCTGGCGACAGTTATGACGTCATTCTTGCCTATCCACGCCTACTTGATCACTTGAATGACGTGATTGGTACGTCTGGCGGCACTCACTGCGATGACGTCACATGTTTCTAGCCACACTCCTTGAATGACTTGATTGTTGTTGTTTGTTTTGGTAACCGTGAACGTCTTATCAAACAGATTGTGAAGACTTGAGTGTTTGTCTGTCTCTCTAATATTTGGCCAGATAAAGAAATAAACATTCGTCAATAAAGTACACACAGGTATACAAACAATATACCTAGACAAGAAACCACAAATGTTTTATATCCGCCATAAATATTATTATAAAGGCGAGATTATATATGATTTACATTATATATATATATATATATATATATATATATATATATATATATATATATATATATATATATATATATATATATATATATATAAACTGGTTTGTAGGAATGGCGAGCTTTTGTTATGATTGTGATACTTTGGCGGGAAGATTGTAGTTTTTATTTTGATGATTTTTTTTTTACTTTTGCCTCTACACACACGGTTTCTTTTTAAACGTGAAATGTTTCTTAATTTTAAGATTTGCAATATCTTTATTTGTTGTTTTGAAAGAAGGCGATATGACTTAATATAACCTAACCTAACTTAACTTAAACTAGCCTAACCTAACCTAAAATAACCTAACCTAACCCAACTTAAAACTAACCTATCCTAATCTAAACTAACCTAACCTAACTTTGCTAAACTAACCTAACAAAACGTAACCTAACCTAAAAAAAGTTATGTTATTTAAAGTTTGTTCAGATAGCTGTTGAAGAATAAGTGACCTTGTTCGTGGTAATCATCCAACACTGAGAAGCATCACCCAGCAACATGACGGCCTTCACACACCAGGAACCCCCATGGTCTCTCTCGGGTCACGGGGGATACATGACGTCAGATCCTTCAAGCAAGGCCGACCAATGTTAAAATGAGTACCACGAACAGCAAATGCGAGCAATGTCAGAGGACTACCACAACAAGTCCCCAAAAAGTACATAAAAAATACTTTAAACTTAACTATAATACCTTAAATACCTGTACTTAAAATAGCTTAACTTAGCCTTAAGTTCCAAGGCCTAACTTAGCCTTAAGTTCCTAGGCCTAACTTAAAACAGCCTTACCGACAATAACAGCACATTTTAATAAACCAAAACAAAGTTATTCACTTACCTTGAAAACTAACTCAACCTAACCTAACTAGATTAACCTTACTAACTCAGCCAGAATAACCTCCGAACCTCAGCCAGATTAACCTTACCTAACCTCAACCAGATTAACCTTAACCTAACCTCAACCAGATTAACCTAACCCAACCTCAACCATAAACCAACCTCAACTAGATTAACCTTAACCTAACCTCAGCCAGATTAACCTTAACCTAACCTCAACCAGATTAACCTTACCTAACCTCAGCCAGATTAACCTTACCTAACCTCAACCAGATTAACCTTACCTAACCTCAACCAGATTACCTTAACTCCCCAACCAGATTAACCTTACCTAACCTCAACCAGATTAACCTTAACCTAACCTCAACCAGATTAACCTTAACCTAACCTCAACTAGATTAACCTTAACCTAACCTCAACCAGATTAACCTTAACCTAACCTCAACCAGATTAACCTTACCTAACTTAACCTAAAAATAAAACCAATGTAACTTCACTGAAAACAGTTAACCCTCAGAGGAGAACCTTGAAGCACGAACACATGAACACACTTACCCAAGGACAAGATGCTGTTACCTCATCCACGTTAACAAAGTGTGACGTCACCCATGTAAACAAAGTGTGACGTCACCCATATAAACAAAGTGTGACGTCACCATAAACAAAGTGTGACGTCACCTATATGAACAAATTGTGACGTCACCTATATAAACAAATTGTGACGTCACCCATATAAACAAATTGTGACGTCACCCATATAAACAAATTGTGACGTCACCCATATAAACAAATTGTGACGTCACCCATATAAACAAATTGTGACGTTATCCATATAAACAGTGACGTCATCCATACAAACAAACACTAGTGTATTTGATATTACTGAACAGATAAACGAGACGGAAATTATTGTGTACCTTAAGAATTCCTTATACAGGTATTAAGTGTTAGCATAACTACTATTACTGTTCATACTACTACTACTACTACTACTACTATTTATTTTTTAATTGGTTTGCAGCCTCAGGTGGACCTTCGCCGCCATTTTATTACCTTAAAACTAAATATGCTAATACATAAGTAGCTATCCTAGCTGTATTAGTTTAGCCTCAGATCTGTGCGGCATTCAGTGACTGTTGCTTCGTAGTCAATATCTGTAGCTGTTGTCGGCTTTGGGGCTGAAGCTCTCGTTCCCCTGAGGCAGAGCAAAGCAGACCTAAGGAGACAGAAGGACAGTAAACATCTCATCCAGGCTGTAACATAACTTGTGGGCTGCTGCTTCTGTTCGGAGATCACCTCCGCGAGTATTATATAGAGACATCTTGTACTTGGTCCCATCCCACCAGAGGTTGTGAACACCAGAGGAGTGAAGCTGCCTTGATCAACGTTCAGAATTCTCTCCCCGTATGCCCTGATCTTGTCGTTCTCGTTCCTCCTGTGTGCAGTATCGAGAGCTAGGTTACGGTGACATGCGGCCATGGGATCGAATATCTTGACGTCAAAAGCAGCTCGCTGTCCCCGTATCCAGAATCCTCGAGTGCTGACGTCCATACCGGCCCCTACTACTACTACTACTTATACTACTACTACTCTCATTGTCAAAATATTCAGGGAATACGTTCAGATTCATATTTCTTCTCCATAACTTACATAATAAATATACTCAATGGTAATATAACGCAGTTGCTATTATAACAAGGTCGCAATAGTCGCCATGAAATAATAACAACACTGACCCAGGTATTGGCTTTATCACTGTTATTATATAATACCCCAAACTACGCTTGGTAATATTGACACTGTGTTAACCGGCCGCATTGAAGATGGTGGTTCATGGCGTAGGGAAGGAACATAAGAACATAAGAATGGAGGAAACTGCAGCAGGCCAATTGGCCCTTACTGGGCAGTCCCATTTACACCCAACCCCTATTGCTCATATGAGCATGCAACCTATGTTTGAAGCTATCCAGCGTATTCGAGTTAATGATGATATTTGGTAACTTGTTCCATTCATCCACTACTCTGTTACCAAACCAATGTTTACCTATTTCGCTCGTAAATCTAAATTTGTCTAATTTAAAACCATTGTTACGAGTTCGCTCCTGGTTGGATAGTTTGAGTACCTTTGTAATGTCCCCTTTGTTTAGCCCTGCCTTCCACTTATACACCTCTATCAGGTCGCCCCTCGCTCTACGTCTCTCGAGGGAGTGGAAATTAAGATACTTTACCCTGTCTCTGTACTCAAGGTTCCTAATGCCCGGGATTAGTCTTGTCATTCTCCTCTGAATTCTTTCCAAGGATTCTATATCCATTCTGTAATATAGTGACCAGAACTGAACTGCGTAATCCAGGTGTGGTCTCACAAGCGCAAGATACAGTTTTAGGATGACCTCTCTAGTCTTGTAACTAACACTCCTTTGTATGAACCCAAGTACTTTATTAGCCTTGTAAAGAAGTTCCTCGCTCCTACACCGGCCAATATCATTGCCTCTTGCACTGAGGCAGATAATGGGTTTGTTCCCATTACCAGACAAGATATTGTCCATCCTGTCAACTATATCCCCCACCCCAGCTCCTGGCAAACACACCCTCATCCTATTTTTGTTTTTACCACAAAAGGCCCTGTCCAAGTACCTTACCTGTGAGTCACCAACAATTAAAGTTTGTATACCTTCCTTGTCAGCCCTGTCCCTGACTGTACTAACGTCCAATTCATCTATCAAGGGACTGAAGGAGTTGGTACACTTAGCTGTTGATGTCGTTGTTGACGCTCTTGTGTGTTTTTTCATCACCAGTTTGGTCTTCCCTCTCCTCACAACCTTCCACTCCCCTGAGTTCTCGTCAGACACGGGCTTTCCTTGTCTCGCCTCTTCTCTCATCCTCGCCATTTCTTCCTTTAATTTCAGGTTCTCCATCTTGGCCCTCTCTAATTCGTCCTTAGCCCTCTCCAGCTTAGCCAACAAACTCATACACCCCAGCCTACACATAGCACTGGCCATATCTGATAATTATCCCTCGGGAGCTAACCCTGCTGTGACCTTTCCCCTAGTGAGGTCAGAACACAACGGCTGTACTCTGTCGCTCAGCCTGTTCACCAGGACTCACCGTGTGCACGTAGCAGTATTTTCCACAAGAAATACCTTAAAGAAAATCAATCAGTATTAAATTTTACGTAAAGGGAACCTAACCTATTGTTATCCTAATCTAACCTCACCTAACCTATTGTTACCCTAATCTAACCTCACCTAACCTATTGTTACCCGAATCGAACCTCACCTAACCTATTGTATAATGAGGTTAAATATCATATTTAGTAGTAGAGTGAGGGAGGTAGGTAGCGTGACCCGAGGGTGTGAAGATATATTAACACAGGCTCAGTACAAGTGTAGTATATAAACCACCAATGCGTGTTACACCTTTATTTTACTAGTTCAACGGGGGGGTTAATGGAGCTTCTAACACAATATATAATAGACTATGATATATTCCTATTACCTAACAAGTAAAATAGGCACGAAGTCGACCACCGTTGGGGAGGTTCAGGATCACCGCATTACTACCGTCTACACAGCCAACACGATGAGAGGGTCGCACACCGTCGATGGACCAGGCTGAGACCTCGCTACACATAGTGAAGATTTCTTGGATGAGACGACGAGTGGGACTGGGGACGTGTGTTGCTGACCCTTCACTGTTATAAGAATAATCCTGTAGAATTTTTTTTTTGTAGGAATATTACCTACACGGACCTTTAGCTAAAATGCTGGTCCACCCACTGCTAGACCCGCTGTTTGGTCAGGTAGCAGAAGTACTGGGTGGGTAGTAAGTAGCTCCTTAAATTAACAAGGTCATGACCCTGGGTTAAGCTAATTGCGTGGCTGTGAGAATTATTGTTCCCTTTGTGACCTTGACCTCCTTTGGGTCAGGTCTGTATCTCACCTCAATCACTATAGGGTGAGTCACTTACGAGGGTGAGCAGGTACTCCCCTGGTTACTGCGCAGTCTATGTTATTCTACTGGCCTGGGTGCTTTGGTCTGAGAGATAAACATTATAATTGTTATCCTAACCTAACCTACCACAACTACCACCATCAGACACCATCAACATACTACCACAACTACCACCATCAACATACTACCACAACTACCACCATCAGACACCATCAACATACTACCACAACTACCACCATCAGACACCATCAACATACTACCACCATCAGACACCATCAACATACTACCACAACTACCACCATCAACATACTACCACAACTACCACCATCAGACACCATCAACATACTACCACAACTACCACCATCAACATACTACCACAACTACCACCATCAACATACTACCACAACTACCACCATCAACATACTACCACAACTACCACCATCAACATACTACCACAACTACCACCATCACAGAGGCAGGTAACAGCTTCCTACCAGTCACAACATTTTACATTTTCACTCATATCACTGACCTCAAGTTTCCTAAGGCACTGCTAACTGACTGGGTGAGAAGATGATGATGATAATGACCCGTTATCACCATCAATAATAACGCAGTAATAACGCTTAATATACGAGACTGGAGAACTGTACATAGAAGGAAGATATTTTTCTAACTCATCATATGTTTCCAAGCGCGATCTTTCAGTCAATATTTATCTCTTCAATAACTCAAATCTCCGCGTTAATAATAAAATAATAACTAAAATAATAATATTAGTAATAATAAACGACCATAAGTAAATAAAATAAAATAATAGTGAGAAACAATATATGTATGTTGTGTTGTTATATAAGAGAAACAATTGAACCCTACAATTGTGTGTAAATGAGAGAGAGACAGATCAGTAACCTGGGATTTGGTCACAATTTTTGTGGTGCCATATAGCAGCAGGGACTAAGTTTGGAACAAGAACAAGAACAATGACTTTGATTGGGTGATTCAATACGTTATTTTCGTTAAATTAAGCCACAATTAACCGTTATAAATATAAAAACTACTCTAACGCATAAATGCAGCAAAGACATGAAACCTTCACCAATATGCAGTACATAATAAAAAATAGTCCAACTTTAACATTAACCAAATAAGAGGAGACGAGGGGTGACAGCGACCTTGTGTTGTGGGAGAATGAGTCGACTACCGCGTTATTATTGGTCATTTATGAGTCGTGAGGGAAGTGAACCATTACAGCCACTGTGTCTTGCTGTAATGTTATGTAATGACTTGTACAGTAAGAACAATAATGTGTAGTAAGAATAATGATATTTGTGAGAGCATATTATTATTATTGTTAATATTATTATTTTTATTATTATTATTATTATTGTTATGACTATTATTACTATTTTTATTATGATTATTATTATTATTATTATTTATTATTATTAAACTGACATATACAACTACCACAACCATAACTACAACCCTTACTCTCCTCAACATAAACCACCACCACAACCACCACCACAACCACCACTACAACCATCACCACCACCTCTACAACTACAACCACCACTACAACCACCACTACAACCACCACCACAACCACCACTACAACCACCACCACTACAACCACCAACTACAACCACCACTACAACCACCACTACAACCACCACCACAACCACCACTACAACCACCACCACTACAACCACCACCACTACAACCACCACCACTACAACCTTTACTCTTCACAGGCGTATCCTCCCCCCGCGTGTCTTTGGCCGGACGAGCACTGCCTCCAGCCTCTCTTGTTTCTCAAGCCGCCCACGCTGGTCATATCCACACTCACGCCCACGTGTCTCTCCTGGCCTCTGTGTGGGGTCAATACCTCGCCCATGACCTCTCCCGACCTCTGGTAGCTGAAGGAGTGAGAGGGGAAAAGGTAAGGTTAGGTTAGGTTAGGTTAATTAATTTTAAGCTTGTTATTGTGATAATTTAAGCTTAGGTTAGGTCAATTTATTTTAAGCTTGTGATTGTAATAATTTAAGCTTAGGTTAGGTCAATTTATTTTAAGCTTGTGATTGTGATAATTTAAGCTTAGGTTAGGTCAATTTATTTTAAGCTTGTGATTATAATAATTTAAGCTTAGGTTAGGTCAATTTATTTTAAGCTTGTGATTGTAATAATTTAAGGTTGTTAGTTATAGTATTTTAAGGTCATGGATTCCAAATATGTGTCATAACCTCACAACTCACAGCTGGTTGTAAAACGTACCATATGTTGACAGGTGAAGTGTTGTGGACTGACGGAGAAACACCCTGAATGTTTCCCAATAGTGGACGGTGAACTGTGTTGGGAGTACGCTAGGACTGCCCCTGCTACCACCACTGACTGTGCTCTGGGTAACTATCTCTCTCTCTCTCTCTCTCTCTCTCCATCAAGTTCCACCTCTACACACCTACTCCTGTTCCATCATCCGTTCCCTCACACCTGCTACTGTTCCATCATCACGTTCCCTCACACCTACTACTGTTCCATCATCACGTTCCCTCACACCTAATACTGTTCCATCATTACGTTCCCTCACACCTAATACTGTTCCATCATTACGTTCCCTCACACCTACTACTGTTCCATCATCACGTTCCCTCACACCTAATACTGTTCCATCATCACGTTCCCTCACACCTAATACTGTTCCATCATCACGTTCCCTCACACCTGCTACTGTTCCATCATCACGTTCCCTCACACCTAATACTGTTCCATCATTACGTTCCCTCACACCTACTACTGTTCAGTCATCACGTTCCCTCACACCTGCAGGAGTTCGGGAACAACTGAACGGCGCCACGTCGTTCCTGGATGGGTCGGGATTGTATGGGTCAACTAAAAGAGAATCGGACTCATTACGGCTCTTTGAGAATGGTCACCTGAAGACCCAAGCCGACTGGTTGCTGCCACGAGCTACCTCACACACCTGCAAAGACGCCATGATGTAAGTTGTTTGTAATGGTTCACTCTTGTTTGTAATGGTTCATTCTTGTTTGTAATGGTTCACACTCTTGTTTGTAATGGTTCACTCTTGTTTGTAATGGTTCACTCTTGTTTGTAATGGTTCATTCTTGTTTGTAATGGTTCACTCGTGTTTGTAATGGTTCACTCTTGTTAAACATTAATTTCCTTTGTATCACTATACTTTGTTAGAATATTATTACCGAGTGTCTTGATTTCCTCCCTTAACATGTCAGAGTTCCTTCATGTCAGAGTTCCTTCATGTCAGAGTTCCTTCATGTCAGAGTTCCTTCATGTCAGAGTTCCTTCATGTCAGAGTTCCTTCATGTCAGAGTTCCTTCTTCATGTCAGAGAGTCACTCCTTGTCAGAGTTACTCCCTCCCTCCATGCCAACCATTACCCTCCACCACCTCCCTCCATACTCACCATTACCCTCCTTCCCTCCCTCCACGCTCACCATTACCCTCCTTCCCTCCCTCCATGCTCACCATTACCCTCCTTCCCTCCCTCCATGCTCACCATTACCCTCCTTCCTTCCCTCCCTCCCTCCCTTCACGCTCTCACCATTACCCTCCTGCAGGTGTTTCATGGGGGGTGATCTACGTCTCAACACACACGCTGGCCTGGCTGCTCTACAGACTCTGCTGGTCCATGAACACAACAGAGTAGCGTCCGTCCTCTCTGAGCTCAACCCTCAGTGGGGGGACGACACCGTGTTTGAGGAGGCAAGAGCTATCATCGCTGCCCAGATGCAACATATAACTTATAAGGAATTTCTGCCTACAATACTGGGAGCCCGGGTAGGTGTTGGGGTGTTGAGTGTGTTGGAGGTGTGTTGGGTGTTGGGTGTGTTGTGTGTGTGTTATGTGTGTGTGTATGTGTGTTTGTGTGTGTGTATGTGTGTGTGTGTGTGTGTGTGTGTGTGTGTGTTTGTGTGTTTAGGAGGGAGATAGGAAGGAACTGGTTCACAAATAGGGTGGTGGACGAGTGGAACAAGCTTAGCAACTATGTAGTAAGTGCTGGAATGCTGGAAAGTTTCAAAAGGAGACTGGATAGATTCAGGGATGATAGAGAGTGGTAGTAACTCTCGACAGGAGCTGCCATGCACAGGCCAACCAGCCTATTGCAGACTCCTTATTTTCTTATGTTCTTATGTACACTAACATGAGTGTCGCCACACAGGTTGCCGAGGAGAATGAGCTCATCCCACTAGCGGCGGGCTTCTACCACAGCTATGACATCACCATTGAACCTGGAGTGTTCAACTCTGTGGCCACGGCCGTGTTACATCTGGTACTGACGCTGTTACCCGACCAGCTGCCCCTTGGTCGCCACAACATCCCACTAGGCATGACAGCCCTCAACATGACCATCCTCTACAAGGCTGGTGCCTATGAGCAGCTCATCAGTGGTCTGGTGTCCGCTAACTCTCTCACTTTCGACCCCGCCGTCAGTGCCTCCATCAGGGGGTACCTGGGCGGACTGGACTTGGTTGCCCGGACGGTACAGAGTGGACGTGATCACGGCCTACCGCCGTACGTGGTGTGGCGCCCCTTGTGTGGCCGGCGTCCTGCTCACAGCTTCGAAGACCTCACAGACACCATGGAGGTGGAGCATATCGCCAGACTTCAGATCATCTTCGCCAACGTGGCCGACATCGATCTCTTCACCGGCATCATCTCAGAGCGACCTCAGGATGGCGCCCTGGTGGGTCCTACGGCCTCTTGCCTCCTTGCCCTCCAGTTCAAGGTGTTGAGACAGACAGACAGGTACTGGTATGAGAACGATGTTCCTCCTGCCGCCTTTAGTAAAGAACAGCTTTTTGAAATCAGGAAGACGTCCATGGCGCGTCTGGTGTGTAACAACGTGCCTGGGCTGAGTAGTGTGCCCCGCTCTGCCTTCCTCGCTGGTGACCAGTTCCTGAATGCCCCTGTATCCTGCCGTGACCTGGACGACATGGATCTGGGCGTGTGGAAGACCCGCGGGAAGGTGGTGGTGGCTGAAGATATTTTACACAGTGTGGTGGAGAAAGGGAAACAGGTCGTGGAGAAGCGGAGACAGATGGAGAAGCTTATCTTCGAGAAAGGTCTGGTGGCAGGGTCCAAGTCACCGGTAGGCTCAGCATACGCCAACAATAAGCCTACCCCCACGTCCTTGATCCAGGCCAACACGTCCGTGCTCCTCGAGGCCACCAGCCAGGAACTCATCACCATCATGCACGACCGTAGAGTCCGTCGACAGATTCAGGGACTCGGCAACGAGTTCGACTCGCTGGACCTTAACCTACCGTCCGTGGATATCTCTGGTCTGGTCCCTCCCGCCCCTCTGATCCGTAATTGTCGGGAGACGGAGGAACACAGGGCGTGTGACGCTAACAACCGTTTCAGAACTATCAGTGGTCACTGTAACAACCTCAGACGTCCTGACTTTGGTCGTTCCAACACCGTATTCGCCCGCATGTTACCTGCTGGCTACGACGACGGCATCTCAGAGCCACGCACTCGCTCTGTCTCGGGCAACGCCTTACCCTCCCCCCGCACCATCTCCACCACCATCCACAACGATATCTCTCACCTTCACGCTCGCTACACCCTCATGGTGATGCAGTTCGGACAGTTCCTTGACCACGACATCACCTTCACACCCGTCAACAAGGGCTTCCAGAGTTCTATCCTGGACTGCAGGGACTGTGAGGCACAACAGAGAGTCCATCCAGAGTGTTGGCCCATCCCCGTCCCTGACAACGATCCTTTCTATCCCGCCGTCAATATATCCTCTGGGAGACCCTTCTGCATTGCCTTCACCAGGTAAGTTGACTGCTACTGACCCTGTTCCTCTGTCTCTCTCTCTCTCCAGGATAACTTTGTCTCATTGTCTCTCTATCTCTCCCATGATAATTAACCACGCTGTTACTTGCCCCAGTCCACCAGTAACAACACTCTCCCCTCCACCAGTACACCAGTAATTACACTCTCCCCTCCACCAGTACACCAGTAATTACACTCTCCCCTCCACCAGTACACCAGTAACCACACTCTCCCCTCCACCAGTACACCAGTAACCACACTCTCCCCTCCAACAGTACACCAGTAACCACACTCTCCCCTCCACCAGTACACCAGTAACAACCTCCCCTCCACCAGTGCAAAGTAACCACTCTCCCTCCACCAGTACACCAGTAACACCTCTCCCCTCCACCAGTGCACCAGTAACCACACTCTCCCTCCACCAGTACACAGTAACAACACTCTCCCCTCCACCAGTACACCAGTAACCACACACTCTCCCCTCCACCAGTAAACCAATGTACACTCTCCCTCCCTGCCAGTACACCAGGCGCCACTCTCCCCTCCACCAGTACACCAGTAACCACACTCTCCCCTCCACCAGTACACCAGTAACCACACTCTCCCCTCCACCAGTACACCAGTAACCACACTCTCCCCTCCACCAGTACACCAGTAACCACACTCTCCCCTCCACCATTTTAGTAACCACACTCTCACCCAGTACACCAGTAACCACACTCTCCCCTCCACCAGTACACCAGTAACCACACTCTCCCCTCCACCAGTACACCAGTAACCACACTCTCCCCTCCACCAGTACACCAGTAACCACACTCTCCTCCCACAGATCACTACCGGGTCAACAAACTCTGGGAGCTCGAGAACAGATCAATCAAAACACCGCCTTCCTGGACGCCTCCCAGATCTATGGTCAGGAGCTGTGTGAGGCAAGAGAACTGAGAGACAGTCACTCTGGCTATCTTAATGCGACCAGACATCCGATCCGTGGCAAGCCCTTACTGCCCCAGGTACGTGTGTGTGTGTGTGTGTGTGTGTGTGTGTGTGTGTGTGTATCTTACACATTAGAAACAATAACAAAACCCCTATTTATAACTCCTCACAAAGTTTACTTACCATACTCCCAATTACAAACTTTTACCGCTACTTTCAAACTATTTACCTATTTTACTACCCATATTAAACTTATCTCAAAATATTTACTCCCTATTTCACCTTACAAACGTTTTACTTCCTATTTACAAAGGTATCACAGCCTATTTACAAATATTTCACACCTATTTACACATTACAAACGTTATTCACCCAATTTACAAAGGTATTACAGCCTGTTCACAAATGTTCCACACCCAATTTACAGAGGTTCCCTACCCTATTTACAAATATTTCACACCCTATTTACACATTACAGACATTATTCACCCTATTTACAAAGGTTTCACACCCAATTTACAAACGTTTCACAGCCTATTTAATCTCTACTCACCTGGTGTGTACAGGAGACGGGCAACCCAGAGTGTAAAGCAGACTCGGGTCGGTGCTTCAAGGCGGGTGACTCGAGGTCGTCTGAACAGCCCGGCCTGGCAGTGGTCCACACCATCTGGATGAGGGAACACAATCGTATAGCTGATGGCCTGGCAGTGGTGAGTAAACCTAACCTAACCTAACCTGGTAGTAGTGAGTAAACCTAACCTAACCTAACCTGGTAGTAGTGAGTAAACCTAACCTAACCTAACAGGGAAGAAAGCAATTTGTTTAATTTTACGTACAGTGAGTTTCTGTTAGAACGAGGTCCCCTATAGTCTTGCCTGGAGGTTAACCCACACCCTATTATTTTATTGATCATTCTCACCACTTATCACCTTACTAGCCATTAGGGCGGTCTACCCAGTGTTAGTACAGGAAGAAACTGGTAAACCTGTGGTATTTGGTAGTGGTCACAACACCCTTGTCACGTGTGTCCAGGCCGAGGCTCGAACCCTTGACATATTGGTGAGAGTTATGCGTGTTACCGCTGTACCACCAACACCCCACTATGACTCACTCTCACCCCAACAGGTTAACCCACATTGGGATGACGAGCGATTGTATCAAGAAGCACGGAGGATAGTGACGGGAGAATGGCAACATGTTGTGTACAATGAGTTCCTGCCTCGAGTGTTGGGCTGGAACGCCATGAGGCTGACGGGAGAATGGCAACATGTTGTGTACAATGAGTTCCTGCCTCGAGTGTTGGGCTGGAACGCCATGAGGCTGTACTCCCTCACACTAAAACCTGAAGGATATTACGGAGGTCAGTGCCTGTCTCTTATACGTACATACATGCATACATACATACATACATACATACATACATACATACATACATACATACATACATACATACATACATACATACAGTACATACATATATGACTATGATGGAAGAAAAACTATATCGTGTGTGTCCCCCACCATTACACCAGGTCCCCCACACCAGGTCCCCCACACCACGTCCCTCCCCCACACCAGGTCCCTCCACACCAGGTCCCCCCACACCAGGTCCCCCACACAAGGTCCCCCACACCACGTCCCCCACACCAGGTCCCCCCCCACACCACGTCCCCCCACACCAGGTCCCCCACACCAGGTCCCCCCACACCAGGTCCCCCACACCAGGTCCTCCACACCAGGTCCCCCACACCACGTCCCCACACCAGTCCCCTCACACCAGGTCCCCACACCAGGTCCCCCACATCAGGTCCCCCACATCAGGTCCCCCACACCCCCACACCAGGTCCCCCACACCAGGTCCCCACACCAGGTCCCCACACCAGGTCCCCCACCTAATCTCAGTTCTCCCACACACAGAGTACGACGGCAACTGTAACCCAGGAATATTGAATGAGTTTGCCACTGCTGCCTTCCGCTTCGGTCACTCATTGATCAGACGGTCACTCCTCCGTATGGACACCTCCTTCAGTGAGAACCATGACGGCGTGGAACTCAGGAGGAGTTTCTTCAACCCTGATATGTTGTGAGTAACCTGTGTGAGTCTCTCTCTCTCTCTCCCCTCTTCTCTCTCCTCACTCCCCTCTTCCCTCTCCTCACCTCCTCTCACCCCTCTCTCGGCAACTGTAACCCAGGAATATTGAATGAGTTTGCCACTGCTGCCTTCCGCTTCGGTCACTCATTGATCAGACGGTCACTCCTCCGTATGGACACCTCCTTCAGTGAGAACCATGACGGCGTGGAACTCAGGAGGAGTTTCTTCAACCCTGATATGTTGTGAGTAACCTGTGTGAGTCTCTCTCTCTCTCTCCCCTCTTCTCTCTCCTCACTCCCCTCTTCCCTCTCCTCACCCCCTCTCACCCCTCTCTCTCTCTCTCTTCCCCAGACTCGAGTTTCAGATGATTGATGAACTGGTCCGGGGGTTGATCTCTACACCTATGGAGACGTTAGACAACTTTTTAACTGAGGAGATAACGAATCATCTCTTCGAGGACGCTACCATCCCTTTCTCGGGTCTCGATCTCGCCGCCCTTAACATACAACGAGGGCGAGAACACGGTATCCGCTCTTACAACGAGTACCGAGCCATCTGTAACCTCAAACGAGCTAGGACCTTCGCTGACCTGAGCAGAGAGATTAAACCTGAACTGATTGAGAAACTACAGCGGGTAAGTGTGTTGTGTTGTGTTGCGTGTGAGGGTGTGTTGTGTTGTGTGTGAGGGTGTGTTGTTTTGTGTTGCGTGTGAGGGTGTGTTGTGTTGTGTTGCGTGTGAGGGTGTGTTGTGTTGTGTTGTGTGTGAGGGTGTGTTGTGTTGCGTGTGAGGGTGTGTTGTGTTGTGTTGTGTGTGAGGGTGTGTTGTGTTGTGTGTGAGGTCTGTTGTGTTGTGTGTTCTCTGTGTTGTGTTGCGTCGTATGTATGTGTGTACTGTAAATGTGTCAGTGTGTGTGTTTGTGTTGATGACTCACTCCACCTCCACCACACCACTCCACCTCCCCTCCTCCACCTCCCCCACACACACTCACTCACCTCCACACACCTCCTCCACCTCCCCACACACACTCCTCCACCTCCACCACCCCTCCTCCCACCTCCCCCACACACTCCTCCACCTCCCCACACACCTCCTCCACTCCCTCCCATCCTCCACCACACACTCACTCCATCCTCCACCACACACTCACTCCACCTCCCCCACACACTCACTCCACCTCCACCACACACTCACTCCATCCTCCACCACACACTCACTCCATCCTCCACCACACACTCACTCCATCCTCCACTCCTCCAGGTATACAACAGCGTGGAGGACATCGACCTCTTCACTGGTGGACTGTGTGAGACGCCACTACAGGGAGGCATTATCGGCCCGACCTTTGGCTGTATCATCGGGCTGCAGTTCTCTTTCTTGAGGAAATGTGACAGATTCTGGTGAGATGGTTGTTGTCCTAACCTAACCTAACCTAACCTAACCTAACCTAACCTAACCTAACCTAACCTAATCTAACCTAACCTAACCTAACCTAATCTAAGCTAAACTAACCTAATTATATTTAGGTTAGGTAATGTTAGTTGAAGTTAGGTTTAGATTAAGTTAAGTTTTGTTTAGTTAAGTTAGATTAAGTTACAAGAGGTTTAGTTTTGTGTTGGTTAAGTTAGCTTAGTTTTCGTTACGTTGAATTTAAGTTAGTTTAGGTTAGGTTAACTGGATACAGCGCTTGCTTCCTGTTCCAGGGGTCGGTGGTTCGATTCCTGGGTGCTCCTAGTTCACCCAGCTGCAATATGTGTACCTAAGTTTACAAGTTGGGGAAGCGAGTGTAGTCAAGAGCAATACCGGCCATGCTGCCTCCTTGTATACTGAAGGCTCTGTGATGTATCCACACTGTCCCTAACGAACAGTCATGCCTATGAGACCCACTTTCGGGTGATGTTAACTTAAGGTCATTCCTGAAATTGGATACTACACTCAACCGCCTTCACTTCCCCAACTTGTAAACTTAGGTACCCATTTACAGCTGGGTGAACTAGGCGTACCCAGGGATCGAACCACTGACCCCTGGAACAGGAGGCGAGAGCTGTATCCAGTTAACCGTCGCACTCAACCTAACCTAACACTAACTTAGCCTACTGTAAACTAATTTAACTTAACCTAACCTAAACTAAACTTAATTAGATAAAGATTGGTTTGGAAATAGAGTAGTGGACGAGTGGAACAAGTTACCAAATATCATCATTAACTTGAATACGCTGGATAGCTTCAAACATAGGTTGGATGGGTATATGAGCGATAGGGGTTGGGTGTAAATGGGACTGTCCAGTATGGTCCAATAGGCCTGCTGCAGTTTCCTCCATTCTTATGTTCTTATGTTCTAACAGTGTGTAACAGAGGGTCAGTACATGTCCAGTAACTACCACCTCCCTACCACCTGTCCACTACCTCCCTACCACCTGTCCACCACCTCCCTACCACCTGTCCACCACCTCCCTACCACCTGTCCACCACCTCCCTACCACCTGTCCACTACCTCCCTACCACCTGTCCACCACCTCCCTACCACCTGTCCACCACCTCCCTACCACCTGTCCACTACCTCCGCACCACCTGTCCACCAGCTCATCAACTCATCTCCCCCACACAGGTATGAGACGTCCAACCCCAGTCTCAAGTTTACCGAAGAACAGCTCGTTGACATCCGCAAGGTGACGATGGCTTCCCTCATCTGCCAGAACTGTGACGTGGTCGAACACATCCAGCGAGGAGTGTTTGACATGCCCCACGACTTTCTGTGAGTGTTTGTGTGTGTGTGTGTTTGTGTAATGATGATGATGATGATGATGATGATGATTATGATGATTATGATGATGATGACGTGTTTCAGGAACCCCCGGGTGCCATGTGGGGCGGTGTCGAATGTTAATCTTCAACTGTGGCGTGACTCCAACACCTGCGTCATAGGTAACCAAGCGGTGGGCATTGGAGACACTCGCACACCCACACCTTGTACACTATGCACCTGCACTTCTTCTGGGGCGCAGTGCCAGACCTTAAAAGTCAACTGTTTCGAACTGCGCTCAAGATTTGGTCTGGATGATATTTTACGAGATAATGTTTGTCGTGCGCAGTGTGGAAACATCCTCGACCCAAACAGACCAGCACAACCAGCCCCTCCAGCGGCACCAGCACCACGACCACCTCCTGCTAATGTATTCAACGAAGGCCTCACCCCACCCCCACCTCCTCCACAACAACCCCCCCAGCAACCCCCACCACCACAGCCACTACCCCCACGAGCCCGACCTCCCCAACCATCTGGCCCCGTGTTCCGGCCCCCTCCACCCCCACCTCCCCCTCAGGCTAATCCCCTCCGTTTCCCCTTCCCAATTCCCCCTTTCCTTAGGTCCCTCTTCAGCTAGATCTCTTCTGCACGTTTTCCTATTTCTCTCTAGGACTCTAAATCTCTCCTAGGGACTTTAAATACGACTTTTTTTTCACAGATCAGGAATAAGGTTTTACAGGCTTTACCCTACCCCATGCATTACAGGTCTTAACCTACTCCATACATTACAGGCTTTACCCTACCCCATACATTACAGGCTTTACCCTACCCCATACATTACAGGCTTTACAGGCTTTACCCTACCATACCCCATGCATTACAGGCTTTACCCTACCCCATACATTAAAGGCTTTACCCTACCCCATACATTACAGGCTTTACCCTACCCCATACATTACAGGCTTTACCCTACCCCATACATTACAGGCTTTACCCTACCCCATACATTACAGGCTTTACCCTACCCCATACATTACAGGCTTTAACCTACCCCCCCCCTGATAATTCAAACACCCCCTTCTTAACTTCGCTTGTTTTGTTTACACCCGAGCGTGTGTATGTTTGTTTGTTTACATCTAGACACTAAGGCTCTGCCAGTGTCAACAAACAGGGTGGCGCAAAAACCACTTCACGGAGAACAGTTTAGTTCACCTTCTGTCCTCTTCGAGTAAACTGACTTCTGCACCACCCTGTCATAAATATATACAGTATATATAGTGTTCAGTTTGTATATGTATAACAAATAAGTTATTTTTCGTTGATGAACAGAACATTGTAATCCTTGTTAGTACAGGTTATAGAACATCTTATACCAAGTGGTGTATTTATATCAGCTGTGGGTCAAGATATCTAATATATGCGTGTGTGTGTAGACTTACGTATATATATACTTGTTGATTTGTATATCTGATGTGTATGGTATATATAGTTAAGTGTTCAAGTCATTCCTACTAACTATTGTAATACGTAGTCTGAGTATTTTGACCCAGATCTCTCTCTCTTTCTTTCTCTCTCCTTCTCTCTCTCTCTCTCTTTCTCTCTTCTCTCTCTCTCTCTCTCTCTCTCTCTCTCTTCTCTCTCTCTCTCTCTCTTTCCTGGTCCTGTACGAACCTACCCAACATTGTAAGGTGGCTGGCCCATTGAATTGCAATGTACACTAATATAATTGAGTTCTTACAAACCCCCCAAAAAATTAAATAAAAAAATACATAAAATAATACAATATAGTTAATTCCCTCGTTGTTGAAGTTACGATAATAATCTATAAATAATTACTTTATTGTTGACGTTACCTAAATAATAATAATAATAACTCGGAGAAACAAATTTGGCCCTTAAAGTATAAACAATGGAAGCCATCTTGTTATTTACATTCCCCTTCCACCTGACCTTTCACTCGCCACTTATAAAACTTTAATGTACATAATTTTTAATATGTGTGTGTGTATATATAATATCACAAAGATGTGCTGGGGTGACGAGGCCTCTCCACAGTCCCTTTAAGTGAATACAGGCTTAGAAAAGTAATATAATCTATTTAAGTGAACACAATTTATTTAAGTGATCTACTAAAACTCATACAACAACAACAACAATTACAGTTACAACAACAACAATAATTACAGTTACAACAGCTGTATTCATGACGTCCTCCCTCCACACCCCAACACACACACACACACACACAAGGCTACGTCACTCCAGCATCCCTCAGAGTTAAGCGACTGTGATCTTGTTAAATGATGATAATGATGATGATAATGATGATGATAGTGATGATGATGATTCCTAGCAGGTCGTCTCTCTCTCTCTCTCTCTCTCTCTCTCTCTCTCTCTCTCTCTCTCTCCTGCCAGGCTCCCTCATGCTTACCCTCTATATATATTATTATTTTTTGTCAAGTTTCCGCCAGTATTAATATCCTCACATAATGATAATTCAATAAAATGTGAGTTACTGTGTGTGTGTTTTATTCTTTCTGTGTGTGTTTTATTCTTTCTGTGTGTGTGTAATAATAATAATAATTCACGGTTTATTGAAAAAAGTTCTGCAGCCCGACGGCTGAAAATAGACATTGAACATATTGACTTATCACATACATTGGTGGTGTATCAAAAGCCTTCATTAGAGAAAGGTGAAGGAACATACAGAGTAAGGTTTACAGTGGCGGTCACGTAGATCATGTACGATGAGGTGTTGAACAGCAGACACGTGGTGTAGGAACTCCCTCACAGATGGTGTTATGAGGGGCCTCACGTGGTGTAGTAACTCCCTCACAGATGGTGTTATGAGGGACCTCACGTGGTGTAGTAATTCCATCACAGATGGTGTTATGAGGGACCTCACGTGGTGTAGTAATTCCATCACAGATGGTGTTATGAGGGGCCTCACGTGGTGTAGTAACTCCCTGACAGATGGTGTTATGAGGGACCTCACGTGGTGTAGTAATTCCATCACAGATGGTGTTATGAGGGGCCTCACGTGGTGTAGTAATTCCCTGACAGATGGTGTTATGAGGGGCCTCACGTGGTGTAGTAACTCCCTCACAGATGGTGTTATGAGGGACCTCACGTGGTGTAGTAATTCCATCACAGATGGTTTTATGAGGGACCTCACGTGGTGTAGTAATTCCATCACAGGTGTGGCCATGACCTCAGTAGGAACTCCCTCACACCTCGTGGTGTCCCTCACAGATGGTGTTATGAGGGACCTCACGTGGTGTAGGAACTCCCTCACAGATGGTGTTATGAGGGACCCACGTGGTGTAGTCCCTCACAGATGGTGTTATGAGGGACCTCACGTGGTGTAGTAATTCCCTCACAGATGGTGTTATGAGGGACCTCACGTGGTGTAGTAATTCCCTCACAGATGGTGTTATGAGGGGCATCAAGTGGTGTAGTAACTTCCTCACAGATGGTGTTATGAGGGGCATCACGTGGTGTAGTAACTCCCTCACAGATGGTGTTATGAGGGGCATCAAGTGGTGTAGTAATTCCCTCACAGATGGTGTTATGAGGGGCATCACATGATGCTGTAGCAACTCATTCACTACGTGGTGTTGTAGCATCATGGGGACTCCATGTGGTCTGGTATTACAGGACCTCACTCACTCAAGTGGTGTAGTCATGTGTGGTCCCAGGCTTCCCTATCGTGGACGGATTAACACATCTCTGCTTGTTGTTGGGTCTCACGGGCAGTTATCACTGTGTGTGTGTGTGTGTAATAATAATAATTAACGGTTTATTAAAAGAGCATGGCAGCTGGAAGGCTGAAAATATGCAGTTACATTATTGGGGAATGGGTGTCTTGATTGACAAATAATTTACAAGTAACATAAGTGATATAAATATGATATATAATAACTAGGTGGGGAGAAGGTCATACCACATAGTGACAGTGCAAAAAAGGTAAGATTGACTGGGAGTGAATACACTGGTTGATTACGAGTTGTTGATAATTTTTACAATGGTAGGGACTGGGCTGTTCTCATAGCGATCAGTACGTGCCCGTATGTGGTGGATGCGGTTGTCGTGTCGAGCAGCAATTCGTGGACGAGGGACCTCAGGTGGTAGTAGGAGCCAGTGTCGAGGATGGTGCAGAAGCTTCTCACCAAATTTGCAGATGAGGTCGTGGTGATGGTCAGTGAGAGCCGAGAGGATCAGTGTGTTGAGTGCTTCTTGATATGTGGAGTAGGAGGGGTTAGAATAATCTTGCATGCCCTCTTTTGCACTTTTTCTAGGTGTTTGCGTTGTGTGGGATTTAGGGTGTGTATGTGGTGAGCTCCGTGTTATTCGTCGAAAAAAGGTTCATTCCAGGAGTACCCATTCTGACTTCTATAAAATCCGATTGCTGAGTGGCTAGTGCGTGATAATATTTACCTGTGATCCCCTAAGTAGATATATGTGTCATTTTACTGGTGAATCTGTGACTACCCTGCTAGGTGTAATAGACCTACCAACCTCCCCTCAGTGCCATGGCTTGTAATCCGTGCCCTTGTCCAGTCGTGACCACCCCATCGACCCCCTCACCGTCCCACCAGGCTAGCCACCCTAGCTTGACCATCTCTTTACTGCCAGCTTACACTCCTCTCACTACCTCCGATATGTCTAAACTGGCTGCTAGTATCACAAATGTAAAGCTCAAGAACCAACAGCTGCTGATGTGATAATTGGAGTCCAACGGCTCTCGTTAATAAGGAGACCATCGGGAAACTAGAGGAAGCTGGCCTCCGTCACACTACCAAGCTGAATGAAGTTGTAACAAGCTTGGAATTCTCACAAAGGGAAATAAGAGACTTAACAGCAAAGTTGAATGTTGATGCTGAGAAGAACCGAACACTCAAGACCCGAGTTCAACAGCTTAGCGAGGAGAACTCTAAGCTCGAGACGGAACAGTTGATAACAGCGGGTCGGGTGGATTATGTGGACGACATAGTGTGGTAAAACAACCTCCTGTTTGTCGGAGTCCCCGAAGATCCCCACGAGAACTGGGAGTCATCCAGGCACAAAATTTCACACCTGCTGAAAGACCATTTTAAACTTACCGAAGTCAGTGTCAGTGATAAAGTCTTCCACCAGCGTAGTAAGCTGAAAGGCACTACTATCTTCGTCAACGAGGACCTATGCCCAGTTACGACTAAAGTCCGCCAACTGCAAATGGACACGTTTAAAGAAGCAAGGGAAATATGTGACGTTCAGTCATAAAACACTTGTGAGGGACTCGGGTAAGTGGATGTCCTCCCCCCACTCTGTACCAGCTCCACCAAGGCCCCAAAGAACCCCCTCCCAACAAAGAGAGAATCAGCCACTGCTCTCACTCTGGATATCACCTGAAGGTTCCCTCCCCGCCGTGCGTCTGTGAAGCTGTTGTGTGTGAGTGAAGCTGTTATGTGTGTCTGTGAAGCTGTTGTGTGCGTCTGTGAAGCTGTTGTGTGTGTGTGTGTGTGTGTGTACCATGCTATTGTACTAATCCAGATGTTACTAAATATTACATAATACTTCCTTGAGATAAATGTATAGTATATATCAGGTGCCTACAAGAGAGCTCAGGTTCTCAACTGGCTCAACCATGTTAATATTGTTATTATTATCCACTCTGTATCTGTGTTCTTCTGGCGAAATAAACTATTTCAATTCAATTCAATTCAGTAGTGGGATTCGTGGACGAGTTTGGGATTCGTAGTCGAGGTAATGGTTTCGTACTGGAGTTCGGTGTTGAGGGTTCAGTGACAATGTTGGGATTCGGTGGTGATGTCTGGGTTTGAGGGTTCGGTGGTGATGTCTGGGTTTGAGGGTTCGGTGGTGATGTCTGGGTTTGAGGGTTCGGTGTCGTTAATGGGAATTTGACACTGGGATTTGGAAAAAAAATAAAGTATCGATGTTTCAATGACTCAATATCCGGGATGACAAAAGAGATTTCAGTGAAGAAAGTCTCGAAGAGTGTTTCAATATAGGGTTTCAGAGGAGGAGGAAGGTCAACTGGAGTGGGGGTAGGAAGATGGGAGGGGGGGGAAGGGTTGGGGGAATGGGGTTAAATAGGTAATAAAGGAAAAAAAAAGGTTTGATCTATGGCAGGGAAATGGAAGAGAGCGGTTGAGAGAAAGGGATCTAAAGGGATTCGGTATCAAGGAGTCGGAGTTGTTGTAGAAGTTCGTGTAGTGAGCACCAGATGTCTCTTCCTTGTTGACATTGATCAGCTGTAAGAGTTAGAGACATTGAGAGAGAAGGAGAGAGAGAGATAGAGAAGAAGGAACTATAATAAGGTTTAATTAAGTCTTCGTTGTGTTAGAGAGATTAATGGCCTCTGCCTCAATACTCAAGTGGTTCCCTGGGACTCTCTATAACACGGCCTTAAATGTGGTGGTTCTACATTATAAGAATATCAGCCATGAATTAAAGATCTTCCCTCCTTCTGTACAGTTTGATGTGTTATATAAGGTTAGTAATATTGTCTCTTTTTATAACTTTTACTCATAGTTTTATTGTATTGTTCTTGGTGTTTATTTTTTTATTTTTTTATTTCTTGGATTTTATTCTTAATTTATTTTATTGTTGATGGTTGAGGGTTTTTAATGTTTTTATTTAGATTGTTGGTGATTTATAATACCATTCTACTTATTGACAACCTTGGTTAAGTTATATGGGATAATTGCACTTATTGTTGCATTTTCAACCAATATACAGCCAAAGGCATCCAGTTTATTGCTTATTATTCAATTGTGACAAGTAGGGTTGAGAAGAATTGCTATCAACGAGGTTATTAATTTTTAAGTCAAAACCTTCCGCTGTATAATGGTTTAAAATGGAACAATACCAATATATTCAGTTTAGGTTAGGTTAGGTTAGGTTAGGTTAGGTTAGTTGGTTTTTCAGTTGAGCAATATGTTTTTCCAGTGAGTTTTAATGTGTTTTATTTTAACTTTAATATTGATTTTTGTCGGAAATAACTTTTGTGGAAAGCCATTGGAAAAATACATTGCTCAACTCAGATCCATATTAGTTGAACATGCAAATTCTCCACATATATAAATGTTAAGTTACCTCACCAAAATACTGTAGTAGTACTGGTAATATTTTAATGGTATCAACAGTGTACAACAAGGTGTCTGTGTTAACCAGCTACCTAACAAAAATACCCCATATATTTGAACCTCATTTGATTCCTTATACCTTAAGAGCGACTCAGTTGGGGGCGGAGGAATTGTGGTTTTTGTGTTTTTAGTTCCCCCCCAACCCCCCCTCCCCAGTTTAACCTGTGCCGGTAAATAAACATGTTCGGTGCCACCCAACGACGGCACCATCTTCACCCGAACAGGAACGATACACGGACATTAATGCCTCGGTTGAATTCACTCGGAAACACCAACTATAGAACAGTTTGGGTAATACTTCTGACACCAGACTCACGGGAAAGAGCCACTTTAGGATAATTTTTTATGGAAGTAAACTTGCTTCTTAACTCATGATCAGAAGTAAATGGCTGGAGGAATTGCAACTTTCTTTATTTTTGGTTTTCCCTCCAATGTTTTCATCCTCGGTACACATTTCCGTGATGGTGGCAGTTGTAAGGCAAGCCTACTTAACCTATCTGTTTATGTATGCCAAAAGACCAGTCGTATTACTCAGACTTACGTCCACCCGCACTTACGACCGCCTCAGTTGTACCAAAATGTGGTCAAATTATGTATTTTTGAGTTCCCAAAGTCAGTACACAGACAAAATTTTCATCTGTAATTCACTTTAAAATGGCTGGCAAGTTTAAAAGTGAGTGTTTTGTGGTGCTGAGAAGAAAATGAGACCCCCCCCCATTTTAGATTTTCTGTGCTATTTAAGCATTTCCGACTTACGACCATTTCGACTTATGAACTGGATGTCGGTCCCTAACCCAGTCGTAAGTCGGGGAGTACCTGTTGTATTATTTATGTGGTAATGATATTATTAATGATTCACCCTAAGACTTCAGACACGCTGGGTCGTGGCTTCCGAAAAAATTGGTAAAAAGTTGAAGAGGTGACAGCTCGTAGACAGTTACAGCAAGAACAGTTTTCTTGGTATCAAAATGTTGTCCTAACTATGTAGTTTTCATATGTGAGCATCATTTGCTAGTTTAAATGATAGTACTGGAGGAAATGGCTAACACCAGAAGGGGATGTTCGATTTCATTCATTTTTTCCAGATGTTCTTTGGGTGATAGTAATAAAACCGATAGACTGTTTTAATTTGAGTTTTTCTTTACCTACAATCATAAATCACCTGTAGTGGCAGGGAATGAAAGATGAGGGAAATTGTGGGGTAAAACACGGTGAAAAACTGATCATGTGAGACTAAAATGATGTCTCTAGTGTATGTGCTTTTTACACGACGAAATTAATTATTTACCGTAAATATGCCAGAATCTTATGGAAGGTAATATGTTAACCTAAATTTCGGTAACCGAGGGATCACTGTACTGCATATATTATCAATATGTTAAATAAATGTTAAAATGACTAATAATTTTAATATAAAACTTGGAAAAATATTGAATAGCACAACTTTCTTGATATTTACTCCGATGGAAACAAATGTAAGCTGAGAACAGATGACTGTATTGGCGGACTGACCTACCAGCCGATGAGCAAGCCAAAACATGTTGACATGTTTTGGTAAGAATTTCTTTAATTGATTTTTTGTTCGTTAACCGAATTGAAGAATCTTATGTCAGGTAATTCGTTAACCAAAGCGTTCGTTAACCGAGGGACCACTGTATTCTTAAGATAAATTACTATGTTTCCTTGAGTATACATTGGCGTTCCACTATCGGTCACTTTTTCTTTAATATCAGTGGTTACTTCTACTGTACATTACATAATATTAATTAAAACATGCATCATTTTTTACATTAATTTTAGTACAACAACAACCAGGGTCTGATTTTCTTCAGTTTCAGGAGGAAAACTGACATTATGGGTGTAAACACTGGCAACAATTCCGTCTCTTATCCTCTTGTGTGTTTTTATATTCTACGTATTATTTATGAATTGTATTGATCATTTCGCATATATATAAAGATTAATTCAATCAAATACATATTCAGTAATAAACGCGGTACAGTGTCCTTAAACGCGCACGTATATGTTGGCGTTCCCAATCCATCTCTTTTTTTTTTCTTTACCATTAGTAGTTAGCTACTTCTATTGTTCCATTTATTAACATTAAATAACATTAGTTAAAACATGTACAGTATATTAATTTTTTTACAGTAATTTTACTACAGCTACAACCAGGGTCTTATTTTCTTCATTTTCTCGTGTAGAACTATCGTCCCGGACTCCCGGCTGTAAACACAAACGAAAACAATGGCGTCCCATCTCTTGTGTGACCATATTATTATTCATTTATATTGTATAACGTGCATTCAGAAACATTATTTAAAGAATATAGTTTGCACTTTTCTTTAATTGTATTGTTTTTTGGGGGAAAAGAGGGTAAAAGGCCACACAAAAGATATGAAAAGGTCACACTTGGGAACGCATCTCATTATTATTGCTTTATTTTAATGGTAATTAATGATGCGCAATAAGACGATTCACCTTACACTGCAATATTGGAGGACACATTAACGTCGTTATTCGAGGCTTTACTGTACTGTAGTGTAGTGATTGTACTGTTGTTACCTGTGCTGTAATCGTCAGCATCCTCACCTCGCAAGCGAGTGGACCCGGGTTCGATCCCCGGGCAGGGTGAAACTATGGGCAAGTTTCTTTACGCCATTTGCCTCTGTCTACCCAGCAGTAATTGGGGACCTGGATGTTAATTGATTTGTTGATCATATTCCGGGGTAATGGTTAGCCAGTGCAGTTGGAGAGTTGTCCGGTCTTCTCGGACTATTCCTTGACACTGGTTCATGCAGCTTGTTAACTCAGGGTGTGGTTGTTGTGTTGGTGACAGCTTCTACACCTTAAATTCACACTTAGGTGGCCCGAGGGGTATCCATTATATTATTATGTAGTGTTCTTTAGTGTACAGTGCTGTAGTGTACTGTACTGTTCTGTTCTGTACTGTACTGTATACTGTAGATAATAATAAATATAGAAACTTAGGTTAGGTCAGGTTAGGTTAAGTCAGGTTATGTCAGGTCAGGTTAGCACAGGTCTGGCTAGGTAGGTCATGTTGGCTCAAATCTCATTAGGTTAGGTTATGTCAGGTCAGGTTAGGTCAGGAAAGATTAGGTCAAGTTAGGTTAGGTTAGATCAGGTCAGGTAAAGGTAGGGTAGATCAGGTTTTGTCAGGGTGAATCAGATTAGGTCAGGACAGGTTAAACTAAAAATATCTTGTAGACCACATGCTGTAGTATCACCAAAAACTAATAATTGAACACAAATACAGCTACAGCAAGTAACTACAAAACTACTGTATTTTTAAAGTGGTAAATGTGTAACCCAGAGACACTTCATATAATAGGCTGTTTATTACTGTAATTTGTTTTGATGTGGTCAGGTAAAATTATGCTTACTCCTTCTAGTGCTTCACTATCCACCACCCTTACTTCATCCTATCCTTCTTTGATGTCTGGTTACTGACTATGGATACTGTCTTTATCTGGTTACTGTCTATCAAGTTACTGTCTATATCTAGTTACTGCCTATATCTGTCGATATAATTACTGTATAGGATAGCAGAAAGATAAACACATACAGTATATGTTTATTAACTTGCCTGGCTGCTGTGTAGAGGCAGTCATATCAAACACACTAACCTATTTCACCACTAAATCACCAACTCTAACCTAACCTAACAGGCCAGAGCCCAAGCTTGTCGAGTGTTAAAGTACTACGCACGTCACCAGTCCTTTTCTTCTTAGGTTTACATTCTAAACGAAAAATCTTCTTTGTCCCAGGCATGGAAACGAGTGCAGAAAATAGCAGGCAAGTTTTCATCTAATTCTCCTCCCACAGTTCTCAGGGCTAATGATGGCTGCCCAGTTGCCCCCCCCCCCCTCAAGAAGTTGCACGGGTGTCTTCTATAGCAGCTCGATCCTCAGAGTATAATGGGTGTGTAGGGTAGAGGAGACACGAGCCCTGGATTTTGGAGTGGGACGTGGCCAGACATACAATTTTATGTTCTCAATGTAAGAAATGAAAACTGTCCTCTCACTCACTAAAGATCCATCACCAGGGCCTGATGATACACACACCTAACCTAACCACAGTACAGTACAGTAAATATAAACATGTATACAGTATGCTATGTAAAGTGTTGCCTGGCGAGTACTGTAGTAATTGTATGTTATCTTTACAGCTTTATAAATATGGCTGCCTGGCCAAGCTGCGGGGGGAGTTGTGCAGCCTGGACGTTCTCACACGGATGCTCAAGGTGGTGGACAAGAGGCACTTACTACACCACTGTTTTCAGGTACAGTACAGTAGAGTACAGTACAGTACAGCACAGTAGAGTACAGTACAGCACAGTAGAGTACAGTACAGTAGAGTACAGTACAGTAGAGTACAGTACAGTACAGTACAGTACAGCACAGCACAGTAGAGTACAGTACAATACAGTACAGTACTGTACAGCACAGTACAGTATAGTATAGTATAGTATAGTATAGTATAGTATAGTACTGTATAGTACAGTATACACACTATACAGTACAGTACAGTACAGTATCCACAAACTAAACTGTACACCTTCAGTCCTTATATTCTGTAAATACTATACTTTATACAGTTACCAGCTAAATCAGTGTAAGCTGTAATGACAACTTTACCTAATAAACATCCACCTCTCTATCTCTCAGGCATTGATGGACCAAGCTCTAGGGGGTCATGGCAGTAAAATCTCATCAATATTATCTCAAGCTTATGTTGAAAGGTGCAGTCAAGACTCAGCATTAGACCAGCAGGTGAGTGAGTGTAGGGTTACCCTGTGTTTTGTTCCTATTTTTTTCTTATCACATTTGGGTGATGTTCTCTGAAGGATTCACCGGTCTGCATTTTAAGAAAAGATGATTGATGCTTTAAAACTGAGATGTGATTCTGATTCGTTTTTTTATCAAGGATTTCAAAAATAAACTTTGTTTTTCTCTAGCACATCACACTTATTACCAATATGACAAGATAATATAACTTATGCACATACAAATATGACGAGATAATACAAATAAGACAATTCAGTAGGCTTCAAAGTTAACTAAACCTAAAGATTATTGTCATTAAGGCTATTACCTGCAAATACAGAAATAAATGATATACATTATATGACCATGAATGAACATAATATTGGGCTTCTAGGATGAGTGAAACTTAATTTTTATCAACTTTCTGTCAATCTGTTCACTGGCACAGTCTCTCTCCAGCAGTAGTCTGCCATCATGTTCACATTCCACCTTCCTTGATACCTCTTTTCCATTTCCTTAATGTCCTGGTGAAATCTTTCACCTTGCTCTTCACTTAAACTACTGTACCTAAATTTTCAGGAAAATATTCAAGATGGGAATGTAAGAAATGCACTTTTACACTCATATTGCAACCCTTGTTTTTAAAGGTATTCAACTTACCTTCAACAATGTTTTGATAGTTTAGATCCTTTATATTGCCTAAAAACTATACACAACATTCTTGAAACTATTCCATGCTTCTTTCTCACACTGGTTCATCGATTCTTCAGATTGGTGGTCATATTGGTAGTATGCAGCTACTAAACAGGGAGGTACAACCTCCATTCAGTAGTTGTATAGGTAATGCTAAAATAATTAATTAAAGCAGACACATTATTACAATAAACCAAAGAGCCTTCCTCTGAAAAAAATGAACTAGTTCTTGTCCACGTTGCCTATACCATGAAAAATATGTCCCTTTGGTCAATAACTTCTTTGATTTCAACCTAGATTCTAAAAGTTCAGCAGACTCCTTTGGTAAATTCAAATCCCTAACCAGATCGATAAGTTCACTGTGGGTAAACACCTCCGGTACATCACTAATATCTTCATGTTGATAAACATCACTTCCGTTACCTGACGATGAATCACGGTCAGATTCTGATGACACTGACTGCGACACATCTGACGGAATGGGGACTGGAACCTCAGGACTACGTATGTGGCACTGGTCTCATGGCAGATGGACTCTTGGGATAAATGATTCCTTGTTTATTTTTTTGCATTTTTCCCTCTATCTTCACAGAGCAAAAATAACAGTCATCACCATGGTTTCTAGGCCCCTGCCATACCACAGGGACTCCAAATGGCATAGCATTTTTCTTACCATATTTCCACAGTCTTAAACCTTCAACACAATGCGACATACTTTATCTAAATCCCCTATTTTCACCCCAAAGTTGGCACAATATGCATTTTTCACGGATGCGATTATTTCTTGTCGTTGCTTATGCACAACAAAGCACCCACATATGTAGCAGAATACGTTAGGATTGCTCAAACATCCACGAGAAGATGTATTTACAACAGGAATAGTATATAAGTAGAGCAAAACAAGGAGGTTTAACACTACAGCTGCTGATGCAACACTGAACATTGACCTTTACCTCAAGGATTCCATGTGTCAGTAAACCTTGCGTGATAGATGAAAACTGAAGTCATATCTGAAATCAACATTAAAAACAGGTTAAGGAACACACATCAGTTTGAAAACATAAAAATTATGCAGAATGGCGATGTGATGATTCTGCCACCTAATATGTTTCATCTCAAGATTAACCACTCTAATGCTAAGCTAATCTAACCTAATGCTAACCTATCCTAATACTAACCTAACATAACTTAATCTAACCATTTTTGACCTAACCTAACCTGATCTGCACCTAACTCTACTTACCTTATGTAACTTAACCTGACCTAACCTAACCCAACATAATATTAAGTTAACCTAACCATGACCAAACTGAAGTCTCCATCATTGGGGGGTAGGGGGGGGGGGGCTAGGCTAGGTTAGGTTAGGTTAGATTAGATTAGATAGTGGTACTGTATTAACATTTTATTTTATTTTCAGCAAATCGACAATTTAGTAATGCAGGGGTTGGCAGTGTCAGCATTCTTGGCAGAGGCTGGTTGGCTCCCTGATGCAGAGAACATCTTAACCTCTTGTCAAACTCTTCTGGCCAACTCCACACAACCACAGCAGATGACACGAGCTCTTGAATGTTGTCACAGGTATGTAATGGTTTGAGCTCTTGAATGTTGTCACAGGTATGTAATGATGTGGGCTCTTGAATGTTGTCACAGGTAAGTAATGATGTGAGCTCTTGAATGTGAGGTATATAGGTAAAGTAAAAGTCGTGCACTTATTGCCTAAAGCATCATACTCTGTACACTGATACTAGGACCCATGAGGAATCTCTTAAAGATTGGAGACAATCTTTATCTGCCTGCTGGTGGCCATTTTTCAAGACATTACCATAAAATACACAATATCTTTGCTTCTATTGCAGTTACACCTTTGGTTTTTGTGGTTTTACCCACCTTTTCAGACCCAAGGACTAAACTAATTGTTACAAAGTACATACATCTTTTGTTAATACTTTATTCATAGAATCATATAAAACTGCTCTTGCAGGGGTACTGATACAAAATGAATATACAGCAGACATCTTAATATTATGTGAATACACAGACATACTGTATGTAACTGGGGAATATACATTTTTTGGCACACGAGTTAGCTGGCTCAGTGAGGGAGATGGGGAGCGTTGCTATGGAATTAGCCTGTGGATGATAGGCTGCGATGAAACTTTGTTGGATGTCGTATTGTCGACGTATTTGTACTGAAAGTTGATTCTTGAACTGTAATCCGTTGTCGGAGAGAAGAACCTTGGGAGTAGTAAGAGAACATATGAGGTTCATCACTCGGGCATGAGCCACAGACTCGGCTGATTTATCCTTCAGTGGGACTAAAATCACAAATCTAGAAAAATGATCAACTCACTCTAGTACAGACGAGGATCCTTGATGACTCCACGGAAGTCGTAACAAGTAAATGGCGATGTGTCAAATGGACACTACTTGTATGAACCCAAGTACTTTGTTAGCTTTGTTTCGAGCAAATACACATTGTTTACTTGGTTTAAGATTCCCACTTATCATTACTCCTAAATCCTTCTCACAGTCGGATTGCTCTATAATATCGTTGTTCATTTGGTGTCTGGTTGGTGCTTGGGTGGGAAGACCAACCGCTTGGGTAACTCTGGATTTTTCTGCTCTGGTTGTATTTATAATTACTGTGCAAATCTAAATATATGCCAGGCCATAATTACAGTTTATTTATATATTTCAGATTGCTGCATGTACAGAATGGGTACTGTAGATTTGAGGAAGCAGAACGCACATACAACCAAGCCATGGTGTTGGTGAAACAACTCCAGCTGGCAGGCGCCTCACCCAACCTCGCCTCTCTCTACTCAGAATTCTCCACACTTTACATGCTCAGGTCAAACTATGCAGAGGTGAGTTCTTTGATGTATGTCTTCATGGTTTAAGTATCAGGTCCAGTGTTGGTTTTGCCTCCACCACCTTCCTCAGTCTGTAACCAACACTTGTGTAGTTGACGCAACTTTGTCCCCACACTACAGTCGGCATCCAAGCCTCCTGTGACCTTTTGACTTCAGGGTAAGGGAAGCTGTGAGTTCTGTATGCTTTGTGTTCCTCCTGTTCAGATATGTCCCATGCTGTTCTCTAGTGCTGCTCTGTTGATTCTCCCTGAAGTTTCAAGTTTGTCAGTATTTTAATGAAAGGAAGGACTTACTGCCTCCTTATGTGGTTTATTTTCTTTTTTTAAAGCGTCTCCTCTCACAGAGGGACTATCACTGTTTACACTGACGGCTTTATGTTGGATGCAGGGGTGGGTGTTGGAGTAGTCTTTACCAACTTCTGTCAGGACGGTTGTCTCCTCACTATTCCATCTATTTTTATGGCAGAGCTTTCGGGTATTTTACTTGCCCTCAGGATAATTTTTGCAGAACCACATCACGATTTTACAGTTTTTAGCAATTCTTGTAGTTCTCTTCAGGCCTCAGCTAGTGTCTCATCACCAAATCCCTTAGTTATAGATATTTTACAGTGGCTGTTTCTCATCAAATGTTGAGGCAGGAAAGACAGTTTTTTGGGGGGTTCCGGTCCATGTGGGGGAGAAGGTGAATGAGCGTGCTGATTATATAGCAAAAACAGCTGCTTTTTGCCCTTTGGCTCATCATTCCCCTCTACCTGCCTCTGATATGAAGCCAGTAATAAGACCTGCCATCCGCTCCAGTTGGCAGCGCAGGTGGGATGCTGTCGGAGTAAACAAGTTCCGTGACATCCACCCTGCATTGAGTGCCTGGGGATGTCAGGAACTATTGCGCCGCCAGGAGACATCTTTGGCCCGCTGCTGTATTGGTCACACGCGGCCGACTGCCGGTTTTTTAACGGAGAGGGCACCCCCTTCCCCATTGTGATGACTGCCTGGTCCCATTGACTGTTTGACACCTCCTGGTAGAGTGCCCCAGTCACAGAGATCTTTGTAGTAAGCACCTCTCCCGGTGTGGGGGGGGGGGTGGGGGTGTCTTACCATCTCTCTTTGGTGCTGGGGGGAGCGGGTAGAGTGGGAGGAGACGTCCTCTCCTTCGTGGGGTAAGCCGACCTTCTACACCAGCTTTGAATTTGATCTGTTATCATTATTGTGCCATCACTCTTTTTTATCAAGAATTTGCCATTAGTCAAGTAAAAGGTGAGGCTTGATCATGAAAGCATAGTTTTAAACCCCTGCCCCTAGTGGTCACAACAATAAGCAGGGTAAATGCTATGACAACTCTTATATTATTTCCACCAGGTTCTTAACAAGCCTCAGATTAACTCAAAATAGATGCATCATACTGAGGAAGAATCATACACTGCATAATTTATCAGTATACTAAAATTAGCTAATGTATTTATAAAGGTCGAGTAAATGAACAAATCAAATACAGAAAACAGCTTATATTAACCTGAACCCTAGAGCCTCAGCCTTACCTTAAACAGTACAAAAGTATGCATCACTTATCTCTATATAAATATGTCATGAGTCCAGACCAACTGTACCACACATGGACCACTTGGATATATGAGCAATAGGGGTTGGGTGTAAACGGGACTGTCCAGTATGGACCAATAGGCCTGCTGCAGTTTCCTCCATTCTTGTGTTCTTATGGTCTCACCAGCCAGGCTCATCTGCCTCTCTGCACTCACTAGCTGAGCTGGTGGACCAGTGACCCACACAGTGCTGATACAGTGTCACTAATTATGAAACAATTTGACCTAACTAATATAGGCTGGTTTAGTTAATACATACATATTTTAAGTTAATATATCTAACATATTAAACAATGATTGCATACAGGAACAAAGTAATATAAAATATAGCTCGACCTGATGAACAACCAGGGTAATTACCTTTGAACAGGTAAGGTCTTAACCAAAGGTATACTGTATGGTGCCACAAAACAACATTGAAATGGTTTTTGATGAACATTCTATCCTATTTATTATCTGTGTTTTTTACTCTGCTTATTTGTTTTTAGTCTTGTAAGGTTTTAGTTTAATTCAGCACAGTTTCCATGTTCAGGTCACACTATGCAGAGGCAAGTTTCTTTTGGGGATTTCTTCACCCTCTATCATCATCTAATGTTCAGAGTTGTAAAAAGTACTGGACGTTGTTACTTAAGTAAATGTATTGTTACATTGGCAAAATGTTACTCAAGTAGAAGTAAAAGTATCTAAAGTTCAATGTACTCAAGTAGAAGTAAAAAAGTATCTTATTCATAAATTACTGTACAGTATCCTGTACTCAAGTAATGAAAGTAAAAAGTAACCTTAAAATTATGAATTGTCTCAAATATTAACCCTTTCACAGCAGGAGGTTACTCTAAGCTGAATAAAATGGTCTGACAGTAGCCAGAATAAAATGGCAAGTGCGTGACACGCGGTGAAAGGGTTAAAATAAATCCACAAGGAGGGTGGGCCCCCTGGGGGGAGGTCCTCAAGGCTGAGTGGAGTGAAACGTTTACACAAAATGCCAGACACCAACAGACTGTGGTAGCTAGACCCAGTTTGAAAGACCGGAAAAACGTACTTAAACATTAATGACCAGCTGTGAGTTAAACAGTAAAATAAGACCCACAATAATGAGAATTCTTACACATCTGCTTGAGTTTTGTACTCGTTAAATTTTTCTTATAAAACTTACCATACATCTTGTACACCTGCCCTTCTTACATACAGCACCTCATATTAGTGTGGTTACATAAATACAAATTACATTGGATGTTAGCTCCATATTGCAGACATACAACTGATGTTAACTATATTTCAGGCACACAACTGATGTTAACTCTGTATTGCAGGCATACAACTGATGTTAACTATATTGCAGACATACAACTGATGTTAACTATATTTCAGGCATACAACTGATGTTAACTCTATATTGTAGGCATACAACTGATATTAACTCTATATTGCAGGCATACAACTGATGTTAACTATATTTCAGGCATACAACTGATGTTAACTCTATATTTCACATACAACTGACGTTAACTATATTTCAGGCACACAACTGATGTTAACTCTATATTGCAGACATACAACTGATGTTAACTATATTTCAGGCACACAACTGATGTTAACTCTGTATTGCAATACAACTGATGTTAACTGTATTGCAGGCATACAACTGATGTTAACTCTGTATTGCAGGCATACAACTGATGTTAACTATATTGCAGACATACAACTGATGTTAACTATATTGCAGGCACAACTGATGTTAGCTCCATATTGCAGGCATACAACTGGACGTTAACTATATTTCAGGCACACAACTGATGTTAACTATATTGCAGGCATACAACTGATGTTAACTCTATATTGCAGACATACAACTGGTTAACATACAACTGATGTTACTCTATATTGCAGGCATACAACTGATGTTAGCTCCATATTGCAGACATACAACTGATGTTAACTATATTTCAGGCACACAACTGATGTTAACTCTGTATTGCAGGCATACAACTGATGTTAACTATATTGCAGACATACAACTGATGTTAACTATATTTCAGGCATACAACTGATGTTAACTCTATATTGCAGGCATACAACTGATATTAACTCTATATTGCAGGCATACAACTGATGTTAACTATATTTCAGGCATACAACTGATGTTAACTCTATATTTCAGGCATACAGCTGGAGTGTAAAAGCCTTACAAGCGTTGGTTGCCAATTTCCCAAAGCCACCTCTCATCGATGTGTTAAGACAGTCAGCAAAAGCCTGTGTTCTGAAACGGGAATTTAAGAAAGCCGGGTTACTTATCAAACAGGTGAGCTTTTTAGGTCATTAAGACACGTTCAGGTGAGTTATTACTGAGCTTAGGTGTTTACTAATGTGTTTTAGTCTTCAAATGGTGGTCATAATCAGTGGGAGTTAGCTGTAGGGACGGTGGTCATAATCAGTGGGAGTTAGCTGTAGGGACGGTGGTCATCATCAGTGGGAGTTAGCTGTAGGGACGGTGGTCATCATCAGTGGGAGTTAGCTGTAGGAATGGTCGGGGGATGGATCCAGGATTTTATGGGGGTCCATATTTTGTTTTCCCAGTCAAAAAAGAATGAATTAAAGTAAAGTAGAGTAGAATAGAGTAGAATAGAATAGAGTAGAGTAGAGGAGAGTAGAATAGAATAGAGTTGTAATGGGGGAGTTTTAGTGTAAGATATTGATGGAATATTTAGTTGTAGGATTGGAAGGTGAGGAAGTTTGGTAGCTTGGCTGGTTAGTTATTTAACTTGATATTACCTCAGGGGAAATCTTCTCAAACGCCAACTCTAATGGTACAGCTATTTATTATTCACTTAATGACACAGACACATTAATAGCACATTAAATCAAAGTCACTAGAACATTATATTTACGTTATTAGACACTGACTCTCAGACATGAACATGAAACGGATGCATTTCCCACCGTAAGTAACTCACCCTATGGACAGCTCTGACAATGACTCACTTGTGATCTGAGGGAGGCCCAGTGGGTGCTGCTGAACTATGTCTCCTATGGGAGACCCTGCGAGCTGGAGACGCGGTGCTGGGGAGCGAAGTCTCCCTCCCGACCCTGACTAGCGACGAGCGTGACTCAGTGAAAGTGATCCGAATACGTGTAAGGGGCTGCAGGGCCTTTATATTGGAGGAGAGCCGGCAGATGACCTCTCCTAATTAACACTAGCCTGGGTGTGTCTTGACCAGGTGTGGTTTCTTTAACACGGTCATATCACACGGTTAACGCGAGTACTTAGTGGCCTTGTCCTCTTGGGTCAGGTCTTGCTGTCACTGTAGGGTGTGTCAACTTATGTGGGTTACCACGAGGGCATCTACTTACCGTTATAGTGGGGTATGCTATAACGAATCTACCGTAATTGGTTCCAGAACCTCATTCGTTAGCATTCGTTCGTTATAGGATTAATCCGTCCCAGGCCCCCAAATACAACCACTTAACACTGAAAATTTTCTGTGGAAAATGTAAAAAATACGGTACTTTATCTTACCTTTGTGTTGTTCAGCATGCAGGTACCCCCAAACACTGGCACATCACTATCACTTCCACTGGGAGTCTTGGCTTTAAGGTCCTCAAACAGTTGTTTGGCCTTCTCACAAATTATAGCTTCACTAATGTTATCACCTGCCATTTCTTTCTCCTTTACCCACACTAAGAGTAAATTTTTCATCTCTTCAATCACATTACACTTTGCTTTGCTAAGTCTAAAGATTCCCTTAGCCACTTGCACAGTTTTTAACTCCTCTTTATACTTCATAATCGTACATATAGTCGATTTAGCCATCCCATATTCATCACTAAGTTTCACAATGCTTGTTCCATTCTCACGTTTCTTTATGATTTCTTTCTTAATTTCAAGGGTTATTAGCTTTCTCACACGCTTTGGACGATTCATTGTTACAATTGTATACTTGTATAACAAAATAGTTATACAAATAACACGAATTTCCACATCAAAAGACGAAATTTCAACAATAACAGCGGTGCAGTGGCTACACAATGAGACAAAGATGGCGCCTGACGCTCTTGTTGTGAGCCGCTGTATAACAATATTCATGCGCCAGACGAAATAGTCCCGTATTCATCCGCATTCGTTGTAGGAGTTGCATTTGTTATAGCATTCTCAATTTTATAGGTAAAACCGTTCGTTATAGCATACCCCACTGTATGTGTTGTAATTCTCTGGGCTGTAAGCTGTAGTCTGATAAACAATCATTACACCAGACCAACCAAACAAAACAAAACAAAACCTAGCCTGACCTGACCTGACCTGACCAAACCAAACCTAACTTAACCAACCCCACCCCTAGCAATTTGTATACAGTACTATATACGATATAGTATATTCATTGGCATGTTTTCCTTCAGGCTGTCATGATCGCCACAGAAGTTTTCGGGGACAAACATCCAAAGTACGCCGACACACTCATTGACTACGGCTTCTACCTCCTTAACGTGGATGCCATCAGTCAGGGCGTTCAAGTGTATCAGGTAAGTTAATAGTCTTTTAACCTCTTGAGTACGGTAATATTTTTTTTGTCTTAGAAAACATTTGGTCAAAACTTGGAGGAAAATATGCAAAAGAAAAACAAGTAAACCAATAAAATTAAAGATATTTTAATCAGATACTTTAGCAACTTACAAAGGTACAATATTGTCATAACATTATTGATGATGTTAAGAGATATTGCTGAAGTTTCTTGACAGTGTGTCTCTTTGAAAAACTCTTATTTTATTCTGGAAGCTGAAAATTGTTTGAGTAAGACCAGAAACAATCTTATCCTTCCCCTGGAGTGCCAAGTTGAGAGTTTGTAGATGTTTTCTTTTATCAGTAAAGAACATCAGATCTTGCATCCATTCATCATTTTCCAGTTGAGGAGATTTTCTGTCTTCAACAAAAGTAGTGATAGGGTCCAACAGATCTACAAACCTATTCAAGACATTGCTGGTTGACAGCCACCTCACAGTGCAGTAGAAAGAGACATCATTGGGCTTGTCTTCAAGTTTCAGTTCTTCAATAAAGTTTTTTAACTGTCGGTGGGTCTTCCCATTTGAGTGGATGAAATTGACAATATCTAGGAAAATTTTCATAACATTTTCGTACCTGAAGTATCTGGCTGCTAGGTGTTCATGATGCAGTGAACAAGAGGAACTCTGGAAATTTGGGATCACTTATCATGAGTGCAATTAGTCCTGCATATTACCCCACCATTGCAGGTGCTCCATCTGTTGCAACACTGACAAGTTTATCCAGTGGAACATCACATTTGTTAGGCTCTGTCAAGTGCATTTATAATGTCAATGTGACGAGTTGTTTCTTTTAGTGCCATTAAGTCTAACATCTCTTCTTTGACAGTTACATCAGAGGAAACATAACGAACAAATACCGACAGTTGTGGGTTGTCTTGTATGTCTGTAGACTCGTCAAGAGTTAAGCTAAATGCTAGAGAATTCTTCAAATCATTTTGCATCTTGCTTGCAACATCAGCACTTATCTGGGAGATATGCCTCTCTGGGGATAGAGGTTAGCACTCTGTCAAGGTTGGCGTAAAAGGCCTCCTTGATGTCATCTTCTGCATCCAGTGTTGGGGCGTATGCACTGATGAAGAAGGCGTGACGCGAGTGATTCATTAGAACTCGGAGCGTCAGGAGGCGCTCGTTGATCCCAATAAACATTTCAGTTAGCCTGTGTAGGATGCATTGGCGGATGGCAAAGCCAACTCCATAAATGAGGTTTCTCTCCGCAGCAGGCTTACCGTTCCAGAAGAAGGTGTAGCCAGACCCCCGTTCTGTGAGTTGGCCCTCGTATGGGAGCCGCGACTCACTAATGGCTGCTATGTCGATGTTATACCTAGCCAGCTCTTTTGCCACAAGGGCGGTTCTTCTTTCAGGGTTTCCTGATGGTCTCCTTATTCATTTGTTGTAAGATGTCCTGGACTTCCATTATCACATCAGTCAGTTGTTGTTTTGTGAAATTTGAATGTTTGATACTAGCAGCCAACTTAGACATATTGGAGCTAGTGAGGGCTGAGTAGCTGGCAGTAGGGAGACGGTCGAGTTGTGTGGTCAGCTGGGTGGCCCGGTGGGGGTGGACAGGGCTCAGATTACAAGCCGTGACACTGAGGGGAGCTTGGTGGGCCTACACCTCTCTCTTGGTAGACACAGATTCACCAGTAAATTGACAAATATACGTATCTACTCAGTGGGATCACAGATAGATACTGTACTGGTCATGACACTCACTAGTCACTCACGAATCAGGTTTCCTATAAATCAGACTGGGTACTCCTGGAAGACCCTGTTTTTTGACAAAAAACACGGAGCTCCCACACACACGTCCCACCAGGAAACTGACACCAGGGTGAATTAGTATTTCACAAATTATTGTGACTTCACTGTGCAGCATGTGATACACAGTATTGCGACTTCACTGTACTGGGTACGTATTTTCGAGTCCCGACTTTAGTGATCGCGCTGTGTACTGACAAAATTTTTGTTTGTAATTCCCTTTAAAATGGCTGGCAAGCATAAGAGTGAGAGTTCTTGTGGTGCTGAGAAGAAAAAGAGACACCCATTTTAGATTTTCTATGTATTAGGGACAGTCGTCGGTCCCTAACTCCGTCGTAAGTCTTGCACTGACTGTATTTAAATTTTTATGCTTTTTTCTGTTAATGGATCCACTTCAGAAAATATGTTCATTGCTTGCTCCATATAATGTCCACAGACCTCTCACCTTTTTCATATCGTTTCAACACATCTAGTTTCTCGGCTAAGCTAAGCTCTCTTGCTCATGTTGAATAGGGGTGCAAAAATGCTGTAAGAAACCTGAGAAAGTTTTTCTCCAGTTCCTGTTCCAGATGCGTGAAAATAAGAGGCCCGCCAAGCTCCGACTGTTGTTTACCACTCATTAGCCCGGCAGCTTCTTTGCTCAAGGCGCTATTATTTTTTTACAGTAATTTTTTTTTTATAATACATATTGGGATTTAGTTTTTATTTATATGAAAATGTAATTTTATTTTATTTATATTATATTTTGGTCGTAAATACGAATGAAATAAAGACGTAAATTGAATTGGGTCCTAAATTGACTTTACTCTATAATACACAGTATTGTGACTTCACTCTATAATACACAGTATTGTGACTTCACTCTATAATACACAGTAAAATAATAGATGCTAGGCTGTGAGTATTTGTGCCCGAGTTTATTAGTTTATTGTTGTTCCAGACTGCACTAGAAGTCCGTCAGAATGTTTTTGGAGGAATCAACTTACACGTGGCCATTGCCCACGAAGATCTGGCCTACGCATCCTACGTCCACAATTACGCATTTGGGAAGTTTACTCACGCCAGGTAAGTGCCTCACTCTAGTACAGGAACAGTTTGTTATCATTATGCAGAGTGATGAGTGTTTGCCTCAGTAACCAGACAGTCACTCCTCCCCTGGTGGTCAGCTGAAGAACTGCTCCATCATAGGCAAGTGTAGGCTTTAAGGATCACATTCATCGTTGTGTGCCTCAGGTTTCTCGCAGGATCTGGTTTAAGATTATTACTCTAGGTGTGTCATTTGTTTTGTTATTATTGACTTATATTGATCGTGTGCAACAAAATTGTCACTGAGAACAAATTTTGTGGCAGTATAAAGAATGTTTGGGAATTTTTATATTCCTAGGATCACATCTCGGCTTTTATATTGGGAGTACGGGGGAATGTGACCCTATTTATGATTTTTTTTTCAGGAATGGAAGTGTTTTGTAACTCAAATCTGGGCTGTCATGTTTACAAAAATGTTTATTATGCTATAGAAAGATACTGTAGGTCTCACTCACAGAATATGATATGCTTGGGACGAGAGCCATATTGGGTACAGTGAGTTCTGCTATAACGCGTGTTTTGATAACTTGAATTTGCTCTAACGCGATTTATGAATTAGGAACGATATTTGTATAACGCGAACGCTTGTTTGCTATAACGCGATTTTTGCTTACTATTTCTCCAATTTTGTGGTACAGTATTAACTGTGAATATAGTAAAGAAGAATATCAACAAGAAGCGTTCTGGTGATAGAATTCCCGGTGATGATCGTAAAAGAAAGGATATAACACTTGAAGAGAAGCTCGATTTTATCAACCTCAAAATCACCCTTCTCCCCCATCAAGTAAAGTGTTACATTTACTGTATGATTTCATTATTAGATATGAATGTAACATTTATTTAGACTGTGCTATCCTTTGTGTTAGGCTAACTACTAAATTTTTTCGATTTCGAGTAATCTGCACCAAACCCTATTTTCTCCATAAGCCCTGTTATTTCTATTACACGATTTTCCATAACACGATATTTTACAAGAACACAATTATCGCGTTATAGCAGAACTACCTGTACTTTTATTGAAATGTTGGGTTAAACTGACTGTCATTTTAAAAACCTTAACATTTCACTAACCTTTAAATAAAATACTGAACTGATATATAATACAGTAGGCCCTTCAAATTCACGGGGGTTCGCTTCTCAAAATGGCCGCGAATCGCCAAATCTGGGAATGACATTTCTTGACTGGGGGTTACTTGTGTACAAAGAAACGTATATTCCCTTTATGTTTTTGGCCTTAGGACAATTATTTATTTTACCTGTATTGTATATATGTGTACACACACACACACACACACACACACACACACACACATACATACATACAAATAAATAATAATGGGAAAATTCCCTCACAAATAATCAGAAACAAATTTATTAAAAAATTTGACAATTTAACCTCAAGTCTACTCTGTGCTTTAGTCATAACAAAACACACATACAGGTATATACAATACAGGCATCCCCCGCGTTACAGAACCCCGAGTTGTGGAATTTTGCTCCTACGGAATTTGTAAATTATGACCAATAATTTCGCGATACGGCCCGTAAATCTGCCCTTACGGAAATTGGGTTAAATTTTAACAATTAAAAAAAAATCACTATATAAAATAATTTATTTATTTTTTAATTGTAACTTGTTTGTTGTGGATTTCTTGGTGTTTGCTACCGCGAAGAGGAGTCACTCCATTGTTTACATCCAGTGTGCGCGCATGTTTCTCACCCCAACAGTTTGATTTACCCTTTACAAACATACAGTAAGTACAGTACAGTGCATTAACCTTATTCAAGATGACTGGAAAGAGGCCATCAAGTGAAAGTGACTGCAGTAGTGCAAAAAGAAGTCACAAAGGCATTACATTGGATATTAAACTTGATGTTTTAATAAGGTACATCATAAATTATTTAATGTACTGTATTGTATGTGTTTATAAATGTTTATTTTCATTCATAAAAGTGCTTGAATTACTTTTTTGGGGCCGAAAAAATTCTTTAGGAATGCATCGCCAGTTTTATAATGGAAGTCAATGGGAACATAGGTTTCGCGTTACGGAATTTTGCGATACGGTTAATTTTCCAGGGACGCTACCCTGCCGTAATGCAGGGGATGCCTGTATTATGCTTCCTCTATATGTACTGTATGTTGTTTTTCTCTTGATAGTGTGCATGACAGATACATATCAAGGGGAGTTTTTCAGTGTGGCTAGTCTCTACCTTCCTGAATTTGTTATATTCTTATGGGATTAATTGTTTTGAAAATGATTGATTCACTATCTGTTGACTTTTCACAGTCCACATATGTGTTGGTTATTGGGGTATGCCTTTAAAGTACCAGTCTAAGTTTTTAAAAGTCAGAGCCCAGCCTAATAACATAATAAAAAATGGAATGTATACGTTTTGTTTATATTAATGGGAGACTTGTATAGGTTATATGGAAGTGGAACCGTTATAATATGTTAAGAAATGGCCAGTCGGTCCAGCGTCAAATTGCTGTAATATTCACTTACTTCATCTCGCCTCTGACAAGACTAATATATTGGTTTGATAATACAGCTCTTCCCTGACTTATGACGGGGTTAGGGACCCAAATCCAGGTTGTAAGTCGAAATGGCCGTAAGTCGAAAATGCTTAAATAATAGTACATAGAAAATCTAAAATGGGTGTCTCTTTTTCTTCTCAGCACCACAAAACTCTCACTTTTAAGCTTGCCGGCCATTTTAAAGTGAATTACAAACGAAAATTTTGTCTGTGTACTGAAGTTGAGACTCGAAAATACGTAATTTGACAAAATTTTGGTACGACTGAGGCGGGTCGTAAGTCGGGGAGGAGCTGTAAGTTGAAGGCTTCCTCTCAGCTATTTACTGAACTAATTCATCTTATACATTAGCAACATGTGAATTTCTTAATCCTTTATGTTATGTCATAGTTTACTTATCATAATAACCTGGCTAACCTCTTGGTCTGTTCCTTGATACTTTATTCTGACCTTTATTGTCCAGTGTTAGTACCCGGAGAAAACCTGCCATGTTTGGTTGGTTAGTGGTTGGTTGGTTAGGATCACTAATAGTAATTTTTATATTTTGCAGATCACTTGGATAATCTCCACCACATCTTATTTCACTTAAAAATTAACCACCCTCATGCTAACTTAACCTGACTTATTCTAACCTAACCTCATCCCTCCAAGTATTGTTTGGTTAGATTAGCATCAGGGTTGGTTAGGTTAGCATTAGTTATTCTTTAGGTGAAATAAACACAGGTGTAAATTTTCTTTAATTGATTCTATTTAGCTACACTTAAGAGTTTTTAGATACAACAAATCTTTAGTTGTTCGTTATGGAATGTTATTGTTTATCCGTTTATATTTCAGAACACACGCAGAGAGAGCGATTGAGCTGATGCTCCGTCTCTTGCCTGAAGACCACCTCCTCCTGTCCTCCAGTAAGAGAGTAAAGGCCTTGATACTGGAGGAGATGGCCATTGATAACCCAAATAAAGACGTTGGTAGGTGGACTTATTCTTCCTTTTGTTTTATTATATTAATGGTGAAGGAAGGAATCATCCCAAATATATGAAGAAATTGTCTCTCTCTCTCTCTCTCTCTCTCTCCTTAATCCTCTGAGTACGATGACTGAACCCCTAGAGTATGATGACTTAACCCAGGGGTGGGCAATTATTTTTGATGGAGGGCCACTTCATGAATGGTGGCACACTTCGCGGGCCACAGGTTAACAGCGATGAGCCAGTATTGCTGCTATGTCCACCCAACTTCCAAAATTGTCCTTTCTGTAATTAATAAGAATTTTTTTTTATGATTGCCAAATGCAGTGGCGGGCCACAGAAATAATTTGGCGGGCCAAATGTGGCCCGCGGGCCGCTCTTTGCCCACCCCTGACTTAACCCCTAGAGCAGTGGTTCCCAAACGTGACCCAAAGTGAGGGTCGCAGGACGGTCTTGAAAAAAAAAAGGCAAAATTATGAAATATTACAATATTATAATTGAATCACATAACTGACATAATAAATAAAAAACAAATTGAAGCATTGTTTGCATTCATTCACCTCACCCAAAGTTTGTTAAAAAGCCACTGAGTTATTGGAAGGACAAAGAGGAACAGATAAACCGAAGTCAGATTGATGCTCCCTCAAGTTGAGCATTTTCTCTGGAGAAAGCTTCCTTGGCATCCTTTGAAATGGCACGGTATATTGTAAGAGGGAAAAAGCCTCATAACATTGGAGAAGAACTGGTGAAGTCAGTGGCAATGGTGAAAACTGTTTGTGGAGCAGATGTTGCCAAGAAGGTTGCTGTGTGCATACTGTGCTTACAGAACAATGTTTAAAATCACAATATATCATAGACAATACGCGAATTGTTGAATAAATTTAAAAGAACGGGATCTGTTAATGATGAACTAAGATCTGGACGTCCACGTGTCTCAGAAGGTGCCGTAAATGCAGTACGAAATGCGTATTGTCTTGTCTGTAGGACCTGGCTTACGAAATTTTATTTAAAACTTCTCTCTAATTTCTTTGCATTTCTTTCCTAGAGTACACAGTGTTTCCACCAATACACATTCATCATCATGGAGTTCTGCAATAAAAACCGTTGTCACTGAGATAGAAAGGGACTTTATAAACACCCTGTAGTACATTCTGAACCGTATATTTTTTTATGCGTATTCCGAATCCGTGTAAAATTGTACGTGTATATACAGTATTCTACCAGTCTGTCTCTCTAGTAATATACAACTGCCTTTACAGAAAAGAAGTACCTAGCAGAGGCCCATCTCTTACACAAGGAAGCCTTAGCTTTGGCCATGAGAGCTTTTGGGGAGATGAATGTACAGACAGCCAAGCACTACGGCAACCTAGGACGTCTCTATCAGTCCATGAGGCTCTTTCAGGTGTGTGGTTCTTCAATTATGTAGTTTTCAGGTTTTAGGTGTGTAGTTTTCCAGGTTTATTTTTTTAGGTGTGTAGTTACCATGTCTGTACTTTTCCAGATGTGGTTTTTCAGGTGTGTAGTTTTCAGGTACAGTGGGGTATGCTATAACGAACGTAATTGGTTCCAGAACCTCGTTTGTTATAGCATTCGTTCGTTATAGGATTAATCCGTTCCAGGCCCCCAAATACAACCACTTAACACTGAAAAAATTCTGTGGAAAATGTAAAAAATACGGTACTTTATCTTACCTTAGTGTTGTTCAGCATGCAGGACAGGAGGCAGAGGGGGGAGGGGGGGAGGAGAGAATTATTGAGAAGAGGTGGAAGGAGAGGAGTCATCCTTCCTAGCCCTCTTTGGTGACTGTCTCACAGGCACTTTGTCTGTATGTTCTTTTGTTATCTTTGTAAAGAAGGTATCCAGGGTTGGCTGCTTCAACCTTGATTTCTGGACCTTCCAAAAGTAGTTCATAACATTGTCATTGAACACACTGATGGCCTTTTGCACAGAACCAACATCAGGATGATAATCCTCAGCAAGCTTGGACAGTTTGCTCCAGCAAAAGAACGCATCCTTGAGATCTTTGGCTGGAATGATGCGGCTTTCCTCCTTGTCCTCCTCCTCCCCTGACTCCTCAGAAGTTAAGCTCCGCTTCAGTGTCTCGTTTTCCTCTTTGTGAAGCTCAAGCAGCTCCTCAGTGGACAATTCCTTACTGTGCTCTTCCACCAACTCCTCAACATCATCATCATCCACTTCCAGGCCCATGGAATTGCCCAGAGCCACAATTTCATGAACAACAGCCTCTTCTTCTGACTCTTCAAAGCCTTCAAAGTCTCTTTGAAGGACACATTCAGGCCACAATGGCCTCCAAGCAGCACAAAGACACCTCACAGTAACCTCTTTCCAGGCTGAAGTAATTAAAAATACAGCATCTGCTATATTGAAGTGACTCTTCCAAAATTCCTTCAAGCTAACATCACTGGAAGAAGTGGACGCAAAACATTTTCTAAACAGTGCCTTTGTGTACAGCTTCTTAAAGTTAGAAATTACCTGTTGATCCATGGGCTGGATGAGAGGTGTTGTGTTGGGTGGCAAGAAGTGCACAGTGATGAAGTTGAACTCCTCTGGCAATTCAACCATCAAATTAGGAGGGTGGGCTGGTGCATTGTCCATCACCAACAAAGCTTTTAGTGGAAGATTATTCTCCCTGAGGTATTCCCGAACACTGGGTCCAAACACCTCAATCACCCACTCAGAGAATAAATTCCTGGTCACCCAAGCCTTTGGGTTTGACCACCACATAACACCAAGGTGGGTCTTCCTAGTGTTTTTTAAAGCTCTGGGGTTTTCTGCATGGTACACAAGGAGTGGCTTTATTTTGCAGTCACCAGAAGCATTAGCACAAAGAAGGAGGGTAAGCCTGTCTTTCATTGGCTTATGGCCAGGGACAGAAGTTTCCTCCTTGGTAATGTATGTACGGCGAGGCATTTTTTTCCAAAATAGTCCAGTTTCATCACAGTTGAATACTTGCTGAGAAACAAAGCCTCCCTCTTTAATAATATTCAAGAAAATGTCATGGTGTTCCTTAGCTGCTTCCTTATCGGCACTAGCAGCATCACCATGTCTCACAACACTATGTATTTTATTTCTCCTTCTGAAACCAGTAAACCACCCCTTGGTACCCATAAACACTGGCACATCACTATCACTTGCACTGGGAGTCTTGGCTTTAAGGTCCTCAAACAATTGTCTGGCCTTCTCACAAATTATAGCTTCACTAATGCTATCACCTGCCATTTCTTTCTCCTTTATCCACACTAAGAGTAAATTTTCCATCTCCTCAATAACATTACACCTTGCTTTGCTAAGTCTAGAGATTCCCTTAGCCACTTGCACTGTTTTCAACTCCTCTTTATTCTTTAAAATCGTACATATAGTCGATTTAGCCATCCCATACTCAACACTAAGTTTCGCAATGCTTGTTCCATCCTCACATTTCTTTATGATTTCTTTCTTAGTTTCAAGACTTATGAGCTTTCTCACTCGCTTTGAACGATTCATTGTCACAATTGTACACTTGTATAACAAAATATTTATACAAATAACTCTATTTCCACATCAAAAGACGAAATTTCAGCAATAACAGTGGTGCACTGGCTACACAATGAAACAAAGTTGGCGCCTGACGCTCTTGTTGTGGGTCGCGGTGCAACAATATTCATGCGCCAGGCGAAATAGTCCGGTATTCATCCGCGTTCGTTGTAGGAGTTGCGTTCGTTATAGCATTCTCAATTTTATAGGTAAAACCGTTCGTTATAGGAATATTCGTAGTAGGATCCGTTCGTTATAGCATACCCCACTGTATGTAGTTTCCATGTGTGTACTTTTCTAGATGTAGTTTTTCAGGTGTGTAGTTTTCAGGTATGTAATTTTTACAGGTGAGTAGTTTTTCAGGTGTGTAGTTTACTCACTGTTTTACAACCATTGTACATATCAGTGACATTTTTTCTTATCTCTTTGGCATAAAAGTTTTGCATTACTTGAGGGTTAGGTTAGGTTAGGTTAGGTTAGGTTAGGTTAGGTTAGGTTAGGTTAGGTTAGGCTAGGCTAGGCTAGACGAAGTGTTTGAAAATGTTGTATTTTACAGTTAGCGGAGGAGATGCATCTGAAAGCCATCACCATCAAGGAACAGCTGCTGGGGCCAGAGGACTATGAGGTGGCCCTCTCAGTAGGCCACCTAGCCTCCCTCTATAACTATGACATGAATAAGTATGACAAGGCAGAGCAACTGTACCTCAGGTCCATCTCTATTGGTGAGTTGTTATTTGTACCTGTAATTTGGCCATGATTGGCAGGTTATGGGAGGGTGTTGGCATTATGGGTGGCAGGTTATGGGAGGGTGTTGGAGTTATGGGTGGCAGGTTATGGGAGGGTGTTGGAGTTATGGGTGGCAGGTTATGGGAGGGTGTTGGAGTTATGGGTGGCAGGTTATGGGAGGGTGTTGGAGTTATGGGTGGCAGGTTATGGGAGGGTGTTGGAGCTATGGGTGGCAGGTTATGGGAAGGTGTTGGAGTCACACACTACTACCAGTAACACCAAACCACTACTGGGCCAAGACTGTAATTCATAGTTCAGTATATATATGACTGTTTTGTTTGGATGTTTGTGTGTTTGATAAAGTTACCGTCTCAACAGGCAAGAAGCTGTTTGGTGAAGGCTACTCGGGTTTGGAGTACGACTATCGAGGTTTACTACACGTGTACAGCATCCAGGCCAACATGGAGAAATGCTTCAAGTACCAGAATGTTCTAGCTTATTGGAAACTCCTGCGAGACGAAGCCCAAGAGACGCAAACGTCGCCCTTTAACGAACTGACGGAACCTCTCCGAGTGACCGACACTTTACACCAATTTATGTCTATGTCGTGAATGAGGCTCGTGATGTTTGGTTTAGTGAGTAACATTACCAGAAATACTCCCCAGTGCAGGAGTTGTGGCTTCAAAAAATGCATTTTATCTAATCATGGATGCAGATTTTCTCAGTGACTCCAATGTAGTGTGCAGACCCTTACTCCTGTGTTGTACAGTCATACTTGCACATATACACACACTCACATACACGCCAATACATACATACATACATACCTACCATACATACATATATATATACATGCACACACACGCGTGCACACACACACACACACACACACACACACACTGTGCATATTCCCAGATCACTTTAATTTCCTTACACTCAGCTCATGTGATAGAAGCAAGAAAGAACATTGTTTAAAGTCAGTGTTTCAGAAGTACATGCAGTACAGTACAGTACTGTACTGTACTGTACTGTACTGTACTGTACTGTACTGTACTGTACTCAGTGATGGGCATCGATACACTAAATTGTCTTAGGTGATACCGATACATGGATACTCTGTAGATGGTTAAAGCATTACTGATACAATATATGTATCACTGATGCTTTACTTCTGAGAATAAAGAAATCCCACTAATATGTAAATTTGTAATTTGGGTATTGGATGTAATACAAACAATTAATGCAACAGATAAGTGTATTTGATGACCTCCAAAAGCATATTACCCACCTTCCAAGATGCCATTATTGTGATATTATTGATCAATGGACTTGGTAAAATAATACTGTAATTATTGCCTTTCAGAGAGACAAATTCATCAAACATTTTATCTGTGAGTCTTCTTCTCTTTGGAGAGTGAATGCCATCCACCAAACTAAAGAGCCACTTCACAGAGGATGGAAGAGGGGTGTTGAATTTCATAAAAACTGTCACAAATCCTGGGTACTGATGTAGTGAGGACAATGCATTGCTTGGGTCACCCGGGTATTTTAACGCCTCCATCTCAGATGAGTCTTCATCTGGAGTGACATTGGTTGAAGCACATTCATATTCAAAGAAAACATCTGAACTTTTGTCAGATGCATTGTCACTGCTTATCATCATGACTTGTTCCCGAGTGTGTGTGTTCAATGCTCACTCAGATTTTTGCCGACATTCACCAGCATTTCTTGAAATCATTTCTTTATGCTGGTTGTATTGTATTTTCTAGTTATTGTCAACCATTTTAATTTGAACTTTGAGTTGGATGATGATGCCAAAATGGCTGATTTACTGTCATGAGAATCATCAAGGATAAGAAACTTCTTAAAGGGACTTAGAGAAGTCTGATGCAACTGCATTGAGGAGGAGATGGCAATGCCTTAAAGGCGTTTAATTGAGCCGCTCCATTTGCTTCTCTACAGCCAAGAGTATTGGGAGCATGCAACCATAGAAGCACTGTGTGTCTGATTACAACCTGTCAAGAGCTGATGCAAGAGGTTGTAGTACATACCCTTACTCTTCAATGAATTCGAACTCGGCATCTCTGAAGGTTGGCAAACCAAGGCGAGACATTGTTTCATTTAGTCGATCCTTGTGCTTTAAAAGGGGAGATAAGCACATGGTAATCAGTTCAGAGTTTCCTTGATGATTTTGGCAGATTTTGGTCTGCCAAATAAGTTCCAGAGGGCAGAACACTTACTCATAACACTATTGTGAAGCTTAGAGTATGGTCCTTTCATCGCAGATTTTGCATCAGTGATGCAGACAAGACTAATGGTATGGGAGCAGCATCTCAAGTGTGTGGGAAGCACTATTCTTCTGCGCAATCAGCTTCAATGTGTAAATTGGAAGATACAAAATCATCTTCAGTTTTGTCCTGGTCACCAGCCTTGGAATTCTCTTCATGCTTCTCACCTTTGGTGTATTCTCGTGCTAGAGGGACACTAATTCCATATTCTTTGAAGGCCTTCAAGAAGTCGCTTCCGTCGACTTTTGATCTGTAACTAGAACGGCAGTTATGCCAGATCGTCATCGCCACGTTTTTGGAAAAGCGTCAAAAGGTTCAGGAAATGCTCACGTAATTTCTGGACGAGTTGCACGACACGGTTGTGAAGGGATAATAAAAAATTAAATCTTCCGGTGATTGTGTTTGTCTGTACACGTAGATCAATACAATAAGCTCTAAAACCCGCTCATTTAATCCCAAACATTGGATAACGGCTCTGGAAAAATCCCTATTAAGGCTCTTAAGTTCCTTTGATTTAGTGGGTCACAGTTTGGGGATCTGTAGATACACCCGACAATAAGTAAGTCCCCTCCCTTTAGTTTAATTTTACGCCACTTGGACTCTTCAAAAACATCCTCTCCCTGTACCCTCGCCTGGCTGGCTCTAAGGTCTTGCCTAATTTCCATTTATTTTTATTAATGTATCGATGTATCTTTTTTTTTATACAATTTGAGAAAGGGGCCCCAGTGATACCCACACAGAAATACTTTCATCGAGTCCGATGCCGATACAAAAGTATCGATCGATACGTATCACGATATTGCCCATCTCTGACCGTACTGTACTGTACAGGACTGTACTGTTGCCAGCAAGGTGTAATTGTTATAATTTGTTATATTATTTGTTGAGTGGGTTAAAGAGAATGGTTTTAAGGTAGCTAGTTATTAATGTGCTCACAGTGAGGTGTTGGGTTTATAACATCATTAATATCTTTGACATGATCAACCAAGTTGAAAGTCATCTTCAGAATACTTTGTTATTTTAAGAATTATTTTTTTCTTAATGTGTTTGTATTTAACAGCTAATTTTCCTCATTTAAGCGTAAGGTGTTAGGTGACAAAAACCCTCGGTGGACTGTATAGGTTAACTGGTGACCTGCAGCGCCTTGTTTCCCACCAGTTAAGTCAGCAGAGAAACTTGTCTCTTACACTCATTTGCTCAACTGTGTTTGCTAACTGCTTACTGTATTCATTACTTTACAGATTTCACTTATATTTGACACAGGTTTTTAAGTATTATATTAACCAGATGATAAAAGAACTATTGAGAGTAAAGTTTCTGCAGTAAAATTGACTTGAACTTTTCCTTGTAGTTTTGTGTTGTCATTGTGTCCTTTGTGAGTTACTTCACCACTACCCAGCTTGTCTTGTTCACTATTTATGTGTACTGGCACAGTGTTCTCTCTCTCTCTCTCTTTTTTATTTAAACAGTTGATTACATGGGGATCACTGACAAGGTTCTAGCCTAGTCAAATGATAACTGGTTTAAAGGACAATTTTGGTAAAAACTATCCTAGTTGAAAAACCTTCCCCAGCATTTTTACAATAAATTATCATACATAGTTTAAAACACTAGATTAATTAAAGCCACTACAATATTAATATAATTAATTAGACAGTAAATAATATTATAGACAAATTACATAGAAATACACAGTAAAATTGTAGACTTCAATTGACATGCAGTGGACAGACGAATAAGTCAGGTTTGCAGAAGATTCAACAGAGTTGGGCGTGTCGCTTGCCATCTATGAGCGGCCATCTTGCCTTGTTGGGTAGTCATCTCCTTGACATCCGGTGTGACTGCCACGAAGAGGTTCCACAGTCATGAAACTCTGGCCATGAAGGTCCTCCGATGCCGACTGGCTCACGACCTCGGCACCCACACCAGTCGGACGCTCGACGGCACCGTTCTCGTGCTCCTCCGCACAGCTTAGGGGCAGCCTGAGCCCCACCAGGTGAGGTGCCTCTCACCTAAGCCTTGTAGAACACCATCAGGGCCGCCACATCTCTCCCGTGCTCCAAACAGTCCGCGGTGGTGACGACGTCTTGGGGAGGGTGCGAAGCAGAATCCATCAGTCGCAAGGCTCGCCTCTTTATCTTGTCCAGTTTTCCACTCCAGGAATTGTTATGTAAACCGTGTTGTACAGATCACGGAGGGCCAGTCAGCCCGGTCACAGAGCCAAATGGTATAAGTGGAGGCCTCGTCACTCACCACACCCAACATCACCTGGGACAGGACCACATAGTGGTCTGAACTACCTACTTGTCCCAGTTGGTGGCATCGAAGGGTGTCTTCCTGGAGGTCAGAGATGACGGGGTCCAGCACCCCTCCACGTATGTGGGTGGAGAAATCGACGTGATCCACCAGACCCCGAACCACCAGGAGGTTGTCGTAGAAGTCCCGGACGAGATAATATTCAAGTCCCCCGTGATGATGACCTGTGAGCAGTTGTGCCGGGTAAGGTTCTTCTCCTCCTCCTCCTAACCCAACCATTGTGGCTAATCTGAATTTCAAATTTATTTTCAGCATGGATAGGTGTATGGACTTGTAGGTACAGTATACAGGCATACACAGTGCTCAAAATGGAGGGTGACTTGAGGGTAAACACACCCCCACTTCTGCCACTTGCATACCCTCACTTATTGTGCATAATCATCATGGTAACAGCTTGGTAACCTTTGGAGCAATAATACACTGATATATACTGTACTTTATATGTAATGTTACCTGTTGCTTAAAGTTGTGCTTAATTTAAGAGTGTACAATGGGTTGCATCTAGTGTTCGCTCTGTCAGGGCTGTATGGAGGGATTATCATTCATTTTTCAAGCACTTTGAAGCTGCTCAGAATGACATTACACAACCTACAGTCCATCAGAAAAAACTCGGTACTGGACCCTGAAATAAGTAGAACATGTTTCATGCATAACTAATAAAGTTAAAAGTTTTGTCACTGAACCTACAAGAACAATCAATGATGATGTCAAAAGCACACAAACTAATTGAGACAAAACATAAGGTATTCTAGTCCTAAATCAACAACCCAGGAGAATATCCGACAGTGGCACAAGACTCGGCAAATACTCCGAATTTTAGTGTAGTAACATTTGACGGGTCCTCCTCGCAGGGTGAAGCCCAGTGATCCTCATGAATTTTACACAATGTCTCGCATATACCGTTGCTGTGAGCGCGTTTGTATCGGTAGTTTCCCGTTCAGCTGAGCACTCGCGTCGAAGCACAAATACAGCATTGTTAAATATATGGTTACGATGAAGCGCTCAGGAATACTCTGTACTAGATCCTGAACACTGATCCACTGATCCCGATATTTGTCTTGGTGACAAAGCCGTTCATTACTGGAGTGAACAGGATCAAGTACCGTACTAATGAATTAGTTAGTACAGGATTTCATGAGTACATAGATGAGAAAGGAAAAATAATTCCATTAAAATTGAAACCATTGATCTTTGCCATCAACTGAGTAATCATATCAACCAGTGAATGTGAGTGTTCATTTAGCAGCATGAACACTGACATCAGTGCTCATATAGCAGCATGAACACTGACATCAGTGTTCATTTAGCAGCATGAACACTGACATCAGTGCCACAACAAATTGTGGAGTATGCAAAAAAAAGTGGATCCAAAAGGGACGGTGGAGCACAGATGAGACTGTGCTGAAAATAATGGATGAAATACCGCCGGGCTATGAATCGCTTTATGATCTATTTTAAAGGTAAGATACAGTAGGTCGGGATATATAGTGACTTTTTATAACGATCTTTACGTATCGCGGCTACCAAAATTATCGACATTTTCCAATATACAGTGGTCCTTCGGTTAACGAATTACCTCCCATAAGGATCTTCAATTCGGTTAACAAACAAAACTTCAATTAACGAAATCCTTACGACAAACACGTTCTGTGAGCATCGGCTAATCAGCCGATGGGCTAGTCTGCCAGTACAGTAATCTGTTCTATGTTTACATTCGTTTCCAATGAAGTAAATATCAAGAAAGTTGTGTTCTTTAATATTTTTGCACCTGTTGTTACCGTTACACGGGTGAAGACAGCTGTCGTCCAACCAGTGACACAAGTTACTGAACCTCAATCCCTATATCACACCAGTCCAGGTAGCTACTCTCCTCCCGAACACCGAGATAACGACCCGTGACCCCTGGACCACTGGTAAAGGTCACAGGTTCTCCAGTGAGATTCGGCCCAGCATAAAACTCAAACAAGAGGTAAGTGGTGAAGTCTCCGTCAGTCATCGAGGAAACGCCTACACGGACCTCCACATTCTTGAAGGCAGCCACTCCTCCCTGCCAGGTAAGCATCTCCACTAATGTGATGGTGTATTCTCCCTCCAGGTCAATTAGCCACCAGGGTTTTGGGTGCTCGGTGCTAGAGTCGCCCCGGTGACACGTCGACTGTCCCGAAGCGTCGAATGCGTTGGAAACCGGAGCGGAGGGCTGCTGTCCGTAGAGGGGCTCGTTGCCCGTCGGGCACGAGATCGCGGTGGTAGGTGTGGTGGTAGTGGTAGTTGTGGGAGGAACTGTGGTAGTTGTAGTTGTGGGGAGAACTGTGATGGTAGTTATGGTAGGAGCTGTGGTGGTAGTTGTGGTAGGATTCATGAGGTCTTGTAACGACGAGGTCTCAAAGGTTCTCTCATTCATGGCATCTTCTTGGTCCAAACCTTGTAGTTGGCAGGTCTTGTCTGTTGGGCAAGTTAAATCATTAGTCTATAATTTGATCACACACACACACACAGACTACTACTTACTACTTTGCTGTCACTCGGAATCGAGTATGACGATCATCCAGCTATGATACAATGATATGAGTTATTAGGGATGTCACCTTCAGTGGTGAGTTTTAAGGTGACTAAAGAGGCCAATATGGGACCGGCAGAGTTTTTCACAGATGTTGCACATATGGAGGGCTACATCGAATGTGGGAGGGGCGGTGTCGGCTTTCTTTCCGGCGTTGACACTCGTCTGCATCAATTTGCAATCGGGCTAACTCGAAAGTATTGACACCTTCTCGTGTGGTGCTCCTCCATGCGTTGCGGTGTGGAGTAATCGTCTCCCAGGCGAGGGAGTCAATATGGGACTTTTAAGGTTTGTCTTAACTATCCTTATACCTTTTCAGTTGCCCGCCGGCGTTACGTTTACTATTCGTTAGGTGACTAAAGTAGCTGCTTTGGCAGTCTACTGTTGTCCATGTGGGTAACATGGCCAGTCCAACGTAGTTGTTCATGGATAATGGTAGCCTCGATGCTCCTACAGATGGTGTCAGCAAGGATGCCGACATTTGTTCTCTCGTCCTCCCAGCGAACTCGAAGGACGGAACGTAGACTACGTTGGCGAAAGTTTTTCAAGTGCCTTGAGGGGCCTCCTGTGTGTACCCCATGTCTTGCTGCCATATAGCAGGGTGTGGAGGACCACTGCTCAATATATGTGTAACTTTATAGATAATTTCAGCTCCCTACAACTGAAGACTCGGGTACGAAATCTGCCCAAGGCTTGAGATGCACATCCGATCCGATGCATAATCTCTTCATCGATGTCCGCGGTGGTGGACAGGCGGGAGCCAAGATACCGAAAGTAGGTAATATTAGACAGGGTAGTACCGTTAAGATGGGTGGACGGTGGAGGCGAGTCTGAACCAGGGGCAGGTTGAAAGAGAATCTGAGTCTACGTACATTCACCTCAAGGCCGAAGTGTGCATACGTATCTGCGTGTGTGTTCAAGATCTCCTGTAGATTGTGTTCAGTGTGAGCAACAAGAGCGAGGTCGTCTGCATACTGAAGTTCAGTAATGGAAGCTGCCTACACCTTTGTTCTTGCCTGGAGTCATCTATGTTGAAAAGACCCACCTTCGCCCGTTAGTCGATGTCCACCCCGCAGGCTAAATTGGCACTGGCACGAGAAAGGAAGGCAGCAAAGAAAATGGAAAAGAGAGTTGATGCCGGTACACACCCTTGTTTAACCTCCTTTGGATGGGGAAGAACTCGGACTGGGTGCCATTGTGCAAGTCACTGCCATTCATGCCATCGTGGAGTTGCCTCTCAATGGCGATGTATTCTGGGGGGCAGCCAAAACAGCTGAGGGTCTACCAGAGGGCTTCCCTGTTGACCAAGTCGAAGGACTCGGTTAGGTCGATGAAAGCCACGTACAGGTGACTGTGCTGTTCTCTGCACTTTTCTGTATCTGGCGGACAGCAAAGATCATGTCAGTGGTGCCACGTGATGGTCTAAGGCCACGTTGAGATTCTGGGAGGAAGTTTTCCGCCACAGGAAAAAGTCTGTTTAGGAGGACCCGGGCAAAAATCTTGCCAACTACGGACAGCAGCGACACTCCCCCCTCCTCCACTCCCCCACCTCCACTCACCCTCCTCCACTCCCCCTCCTCCACTCCCCCACCTGATTTGCCTGATTAAAACACCGTATCTCAAAGCATCTCTCAATGTAGGCAACTCCGACTTCAGGAGCTCTCTCCCAGACCCAAGATAGTGACTGAGATGGCTGGATTTTTGGTTCCTCGTCCTGACACAAGCAGCCATCGCAAATATTATCAACTTATAAATGCATCAGAATCTGAAACAGAAAAAATATTGTTAGTTGGGTTGTTAAAGAATGAAGTCAGAAAGCAATGTTCACTATTTAATTGTAATGCACTAATGCAGCTGTACGTTAGATTTTCGATAAATTTCACGCTAAAATATACCTAGCAAAAGGTTGCAAAATATTGAAACTGAAATTATTTTCTGTTTATATACACTAAAATCTACCAAAAAAGTGATGGGCCATTAGTTTTAGCTAATCTTCCCTCCTATGACACACCCTAGTGCATAATATACATAATTAGGGAGTTGACTGTCATTTCTACTCTATAGGGTTTATTAGTCTACTGTTGATAAATTTACTAATGTAATTACTAGTAATTTTAAGATGAATACTTATACTAAAAAACTTTGTCAGATGTTGTGTGAATGTAATATTGTAGATTTTTGTGTACCTTTGCCAAACAATGTTTATTTGAAACCATGGTTCATGGAGAGTGTATCTGTAAGAATGGATAAGCTAGAGGTAAAAAAAAAAAGTTTGTAATCCTTATGAGTTATGGCAAATATTCCTTGAGAAAATATCTGAGTACCAAAAGGGAAATGTTATTCATATGTACAGTTAATGGGAATCGGACCGGTTGTGGCATTGTTATAAGGGAAATTTTTGAATGTGGTGTTAGTGTTACGAAAGAATATGCAAGAGAATTGGGGATAGAAGTTCCAGCACCACTGATGAACTTTAATAATAATAATAATAATTAACGGTTTATTGAAAAAGTTCTGCAGCCCGAAGGCTGATAATATACATTGGACATAAATGACTTATTACATACATTGGTGGTTTAACACAAGCCTTCATTAGAGAAAGGTAAAAGAACATACAGATTAATGTAGGTGTTGAACAGCAAACACGTAGTGTAGTAACTCCCTCTCAGATGGTGTTAGGGGGGGGGACCTGACGTGATGTAGTTCTCAGATGGTGTTATGAGGGCCTCACGTGGTGTAGTAATTTCACAGATGGTGTTATGAGGACCTCACGTGGTGTAGTAACTCCTCACAGATGGTGTTATGAGGGGCCTCACGTGGTGGTGTAACTCCTCACAGATGGTGTTATGAGGGACTTGACGTGGTGTAGTAACCTCCCATATGGCGTTATGGGGACATGACGTGGTGTAGTAATTCCTCACAGATGGTGTTATATGAGTGAGGTGTGGTCCCAGGCCTTCCTATCGTAGACGGATTAACACATCGTTGGTTGTTGTCGGTCTCACGGGCCGTTACCACTGGTTACCTGGGACCTCACTGTGTGAAGGTTAACTTGGGTACGACTGTTACTGTTGAGTTGTTCTCACTGACTTAAGAACTGTTCACCCTGTTTAACATTGGTTCCGTTCCTTTCCTAAATGAAATTGTAACTTCTGGCGAGAACTTGTTGATATTCCTGTGGGGATGAGGGTTCAGAGGGGTTAAGGGCCAACTTAACAGTTGACCTGGTACGTGTTGACCCTTCGGTGGTCAAGGATGCTATATATGTAGGACAAAAACAGTTTTGGGTTTGTTGACAGCCAAAGCGCTTCTGTGCTGATGATTTGGCGAAGCAAGGTGTGGCAAATAAATTGTAGAATATGATTGTATTTTGAGTATTAAAAGAATAAAATCTGGAATGGTAAAAATCCGACAGCAATGGGAAATGGACAATATTCGGAAAATTTTGATTATAGTTTGCAGATTTTATGCATATCTATTTGTTGTATACATATCTGTGTAGTAATTCCTCACAGATGTGTTTATATGAGAGGTGTCCCAGGCCTTCTTATCGTAGACGGATTAACATTATCGCTGGTTGTTGTTGGGTCTCACGGGCCGTTATCAATAAGTCACCTGGGGACCTCACTAGTACAATCAGTACGATCAGTTATTGCTGAGTTGTTCTCACTGACTTAAGCACTGTTCACCTCTGTTTAACACTGGTTCCGTTCCTTTCCTTAAATGAAATTGTAACTTCTGGCGAGAACTTGTTGATATTCCGTGGGGATGAGGGTTCAGGGAGGGGGTTATGGGCCAACTTAACGGTGGTCAAGGATGCTATATATGTAGGACAAAACAGTTTTGGGTTTGTTGACAGCCAAAGCGCTTCCTTGTGCTGATGATTTGGCGAAGCAAGGGTGTGGCAAATAAATTCGTAGAATATGATTGTATTTTGAGTATTAAAAGAATAAAAATCAGAAATGGTAAAAATCCGACAGCAATGGGAAATGGACAATATTCGGAAAAATTTGATTATAGATTGTAGATTGTAGATTTTATGCATATTCATTTGTTGTATACATATTCGTTTTATGATTACGTACAATATTAAAAGAGCTCTTGTTAAGAGAAGTTTTAAGTGGCTAGTTAGCATACTAACCAGCTTCCTTTGAATTTGTTTAAAACACACCACCAATAAATTAATTTATCTATTACGAATGCACGTAAACAAAGCCAAATTGCCTCATTATAGTAGTGGGTAAGGCATGCTCCAGGCTTATCCCCCTGAAAGTTTTCCGAGTTAAACATTTATTGATTTTAAAATTATTATGTTAATATTAAAAATAGTGAATCTGGGTATTAAAAATATTAAAATTGGAGGATTATTTAAGGATTTAATCTGGTATTGTTTACAGGTAATGTTGGTGTCATGCTGAGTCTACAGATCGGCAAAGTTGGATTCCCCTGCTTAAACTTTGCTGTGTCCGAATCCTCGAGCGCAAAAGTAATTTTAATATTCGTCTTTATAATAATTTTTTACGTAAATTTACCTTTTGTCTCTTTGTTTTTTCTTATTTTATTTTAATAATATTATAAATGACTTAATTGACCATATAAAATGTAAGTTAAAATTTGTATATGATGAAGTTTGTATTATAGTTAATCATTCGGACGAAGTGGTGGTGTGGAGGTGGAGGAAGTAGAGGAGAGGCCACGACGTTGTTGCTGTCACTTACCTCGAATCAGTTTTCTGGGACTCACCATACAAGGTTGTCAATTCTTTCTATTTCGGCCGTGGAAAGTGTGAATATCACGGCCAAACTATTTGCCCGAATTTTGTGTTAATACATCATCTAGTGGATTTTGAAGACATGTCTAACAGATTTTCAAATTTCTCAATTGAAAGGTGACTGTCTCCATAGTTACTGCCTTTTAGTTGTTAGTTCTCATATTTGAGTTGTTCAGACTGAACGTGTCCAGCATATGCGGTTAAGCTTATATAGTGGTTCTCAACCTTGTCGGTTCTATGCACTTTTTCACCATATGTCAGTATGTCATTCCCTCTTTTCCCAGATTGTTCGCCTCAAAAAAGTGTATATTCCAAATAATATGCATATAAATACTGAAAAACTTTTATTATTTCCATATTAGTATCAGTTTTCCGGCCAAACTATTTAGTCAATTTTGTGTTAATACCTCATCTAGTGGTTTTGAAGCATGTCTAACAGATTTTCAAATTTCCTCAATTGAAGGTGACTGTCATACTTTTACTGCCTTAGTTGTTGGTTCTCATATTTGATTTGTTCAGGCTAGATCGTGTCCAGCATATGGGTTAAGCTTTATAGCAGTGGTTCTCAACCTTGTTTGCATGCCTCTTTTTACCATATGTCAGAATGTCATCCCCTCCTTTTCCAAGATTGTCCTCAAAAAGTGCATTCCAAATAATATGCATATAATATTGAAAATCCTTTTATTTCCAGTGTTTATCAGTTTCCTGAAAACCTGAGGGGTAATTCCCCCTGAGTTGAGAACCCTGCTTTATAGTTTACAAAGCCATCCAGTTACTTTCTGAAATTCTGGTGATAGTTTTCAAAATGTATAGTTTTTGCAAAGTGTCTTACGACAGTGGTAGAAAATATAACAAATTATGGAAGAAAAATTCGTCTGTGTTAGTATAGCCAGTGATGGAATTAAAATGCTCAGTTCCATGAAAATGTTGCAGGAATTTAAATAACACACACATTGGAGCTATTTAACTCTGTCATATGCAAGAAGAACCAGGGGACGGTGTGAACTTGACTCCTATTATCATGCTCCACCACCATTTGAGTTTACGGTAAATCTTCACTGTAGATTACAGATATTATGTTTATGTAATTATTGGGCCCTGAATTATAAGTGAAAATTGTTTTTGTTGCGACATTTTAAGTGCATATTGTGGGGAGATTTTTATTTTGTGTGGATTGCATAGCTTTGTGCTTTCCATCCAAAAAGATTTGGCCGTGAAGCTTGTCGTACATGTGGCAACCCTGTTCCTATGCGGTATGTAATTGGTATGGTTAATTTCATGTTCACGAAGATTTAATGTTAAATATTTTAAGTGTTTATTCGGACGTACTTCACAAGATTTGGTATATATTTTGGCTATAGAGACGTACTATAGATGTGTGTTCTTATTTTATTGCATTACAGTTGTACAAAGACTACATTACTTAATTTTTAGTTACAATATTATTCATTCGGGACCGTGAAGATGAGTACACAAGACTGTTAGTTTCTTTTAACGGAACTGTTGTTGCACAAAATAAAGCATTCTGCTATAACTTAAAGTACAATACTGTAGCTATCGTTGTGGTTTCTTAGTTTTGTTTAAGTTTGTTCACCTTTAAAAAAAATAGAGTAATTGTTAACTTTTTTGAAATAATTACATATTTTAAGTATGTACGCTTGTAGGTTTTAAAAAGCCTTTATAGATACAGGGTATTCTTAAATATGTAGACCATCTTTACGTTACGAAGAAGTTAGTTTTCACGTTGTCAAAATATTGATTTTCCAAAAAAGGCCTGAATCCTTAGTCTCCGGCATTTGTAAGAAAGTAGTTTAAATTTCATACTAGGTACTTTACGATTTTAAATCTTGGTAATTGTGTTAATATGAGGGCAACTGGTGAACTCTTTTAATGCTGGCTGACTGGCTTTTCCTCGTCTTCTCGCTGCCAGTCATACCATGCAATGCCTGCCTCGGCCACTTGCTGGCCTGGAGGGTTCGAGACACTGCAATATCACTTCCGTCGGCCACCTCGGGCTCGTGCAGTGTATATCGTTTAAAAATACAATACTGGAAAAAGCAGGAACTGTACCAACAAATGGCTTATTTTTTTGGGGGAGGGTTCAGTTCAATTTAAATATAGTATTTTGCCATTAATTTTGTGCTAAATTAATGCTGTACTGTATATATAGGTAAATGATTAAACTTGACAGGAACTGTGTGTACCGATCATAGTTAATGTTAGTGATCAATATTACAGGTTATATCTACTAATGTGCTGCGAGTGTTGTTCTCTGAATTGTTGTTATACAAGTTGATTTGTCTTGATATAAGTGGATATTTGGACTTGATATAAGTATAATTTGTCTATAAAGGTTGACGGTTTAATGACTTATTTCAGATTTGAGTGGGAGGTGGATGACCTTTGTAG